CCTTCTCGGGTACGTTGACCGTCTCGAACGATGTAGCTTTCCCTTTCCCTTGATAGTATTCGCGGTCCTCTAAGTCGATCTTGTAGCACATGCAGTAGAACGACTCCAGTGCGCTCATGGTTATGTTGTACGTTCTGGCCAGGGTTTTTGCGTCTTCTGGGTCCGACTTGTAGGCCGCGCTCGCTGCGATGAAGGGTGGTGGTTCGTCTGCTTCATCTCTGGCGTGAATGAATGATGCTGCTTTCCATACATCGTTCATGACCGTGGTATCGATTTTGGGCGTTGCCTCCACCGTGCGGTCCTTTAGCGATTTGGTCGCCCCGCTGCATGTCCCAGCCAGTGAGTTCGGTCGATTAGCTTCTTGCGAGCGGGAGTGACCATCACTTTCATGGTCCTTCTCGCTCGCACATAGTGTCTCCTGCACGTTCATGGGGCTGCCCCTTTCATCGTTCGAGTCGCCGTACGTAGCCAGGAACTCCATTTCCATGTCCTGCTCGTAGCGTGCCAGCTCCTCGTACGTGTCTGCTTCTCCGCGGCCGCCGTTCTCCTCATACTCGGATATGTCGTCGAAGGGGTCCATTTCGTCTCTGTACATGTGTCGAGGAGGAGGAGGAGGAGGAGGAGGAGGAGGAGGAGGAGCAGGAGGAGGAGGAGGAGGAGGAGGAGGAGGAGGAGGGGCGACGATCGCGGGGGGCCGGCTCTCGGGCGGGGAGCCATCGGCCTGGCATCGGCGACACATCGCCGATGGATCGGCGAAGGGCCCCCGGCAGCAGAGACGCTGGGCGGGGTGGGCCCCCGTCGGCGGTGGAGGCGAGCAGGGGTCCATGCGCCCCCCCGGGGGCCTGTCCCTCCCCGTCGGTGCCCCTGAATCCGGAGTCCCCCCAGGACGTGCCCAGATGTCTCTGCGGAGCCCTCGGGGGGCCCCACACGGCCCCGCAGAGAGCCCCAAGACGCCCCGAAATGGCGCCAGTGTGGCACCGACGCGCTCTGCGATGGCTCCGCCGAGGGCCCCCGGAAGGGGCAAAAATACGTAGCACCACTCAGTTGCGTATAAGAGGGGGCGGGCGCGGGGTGGGTCGCGGGTGAATCGCGGGTTCCAGGTAGGTCGCAGGGTGGCCCACCCGCGGCGACGACGACGACGCATGTCATGTTCGTTTTTATATGCTCGCATGTCATGAAACATGTATATCCCAAACCCTGGGTGCCCGTCCTCGTCGTCTTTGATCGTGCCCCCCTTGGGGATACATCATCCTTACCTGCCACGTGTCGCTGGCGCAGCCCCTAAAGCAGGGCAGGGGAGGGAGGTGGGAAGGGACAAGGGGGGGCAGAGCAGGATGGAGCACGAGAGAGACTTGGAGGAGAGGGGCTAAGGAGCAGCATCGCAGGCGGCAGAACCAGACAGACACCGAAAACAGGGCAGGGGAGGGAGGTGGGAGGGGACAAGGGGACAAGGGGGGGAGAGCAGGACCCAGACCCCCGACGTCATGATTTTTTCATGACGCGACCCCCAGAGGTCCAGACCCATTCCCCGGGACCGGTTTTTCATCCCGAGTCGTTTTTTGACGGTCCCGAGGCCCGGCAAGGGCCCTCAGAGGCCGAAAATAGCGAAAAACCTCCCGTCGTGATTTTTTCATGACTCGAGGAGGTCTGGGGATGGAGCACGAGAGAGAGACTTGGAGGAGAGGGGCGAAGGAGCAGCATCGCAGGCGGCAGAACCAGACAGACGGGCCGGGCGGGCGGACCCGAGCGAGCGGGCCCCGGGCGTGCGGGCCCAGACGGCCGGGTCGAGCGGGCGGGTCGCGGAAGCAGCAGCCCTGCATGGGCCGCGAGGAAGTCTCGAGCGAAAACACGGTCCCCAGGTAAATCGTGAGAAATCCAAAGCGATAGCATGATTCCTGAGGGCCGAAGGCGCGGCGTCTCAATAAATTGCGAGAACGCACCACGCGAGAGCGCGATTCCTGGATCAGCTGTGAGGAAAGCGCGTGCGAGAGCGCGATTTCAAATAAATCCCACCAGCCCTGTGTTTCCTCTTCCAAAAAAACTCTTCCCTTCGGGGAGGAGTGCCCTCCCCCTCCCCTCCCTTGGGTGTTTTTGAGGGGCGGGCCGCGACGTGTTAGAGGGTCCGTTTTCGCCCAGTATGGCTGCAAGAAGGCCTCCGATGCTCCAATATGGACTCCAAGGCGGCTCCAGATAACCTAAGATGGTTCAGAATAGCTTCCGACTACCTCCAAGATGCCGGAAAAGGGGCCACAAGACGGTTCCAAGTGCTCTCGGAGCCCCCCTAGGACCCCCCTAGCAGACCAATCACCTTCAAAAACAAATGGGACATCTATGATGTTCGCCTTCTCGCCTGATCGCTTCCGAGGCGCTTGAGAGGCCTCAAGATGGCCACGAGATGACCCAAGAGAGGCCCAAGAGGGGCCTAACAGTCGATTTCGAGGGCCCCAGAAGGGGGCACCAAACGTTAGAGAGAGCGCGTCCGTGGCGCACCCCCAAAGGGGGGGGTACCCTCTTGGCTACCCCCCCCCCCCCTTGGAGACCTCCCCTGCCGGAAGCCCCCCCCTCCCTCCTCCTCCTCCTCCCTCCTCCTCCTCCTCCTCCTCCTCCTCCTCCTCCTCCTCCTCCTCCTCCTTTTCTCTCGCCCCTCGGAGGCTACATCCCCCCTTCCTTCCTTCCGCGCTTCGGAAGCTACTTACCCCCACTCCCTTTCCAAAGGGGGGGGGGCTGCGTCGCCACTGGGGCCTTCGGTGGAGCTCTATAGGCGGAGGAAGCGCATACGAACGCCCCCAGTGGAGCCTTCGGTGGGGCTCCCTATGGGGCCACGAAGCGCTGTGCTGGGCGAAGGAAACGCATGTCGACACTGCCACTGGGGCCTTCGGTGGCGCCCCCTATGGGGCCACGAAGCGTTGTACTGGGTGGGGGAAACGCATGTCGACACTGCCACTGGGGCCTTCGGTGGAGCTCCCAGTGGGGCCACGAACCGTTGTACTGGGTTGGGGGGACGCATGCGGACGCAGCTCGTTGTGGGGCCACGAAACGCTGTACTGGGTGGGGGAAACGCATGCGGACGCAGCCGCTCGGGCCCTCGGTGGAGCTCATTGCGGGGTCACGAAACGCTGTACTAGGTGCGGGAGACGCATGCGGACACCACCACTAGGCCCTTCGGTGGAGCTCCCTATGGTGCCACAAAACGCTGCACTGGGTGCGGGAAACGCATGTGGACACCGTCACTAGGGTCTTCAGTGGACCCCTTATGGAGCTACAAAACTTTGCGCTGGGTGAGGGAAGCGCATGCCGACACCGCCACTAAGCCTTCGGTGGACCCCCTATGGGGCCACGAAACGCTGTACCGGGTGAAGGAAGCGCATGCGAACCATGCTACTGGGGCCTTCGGTGGAGCTCCCTACGGAGCCACGAAGCGTGTCAGTCACTGGGGCCTGCGGTGGAGCTGCCTATTGGGCCCCGAAACATGAGAGGGGTGTGCCAAAGTGGACAAGAGGCGGCATGTGAACGCAACCACTGGGGCCTCAGGTGAAGCTCCCTAGGGGCCACGAAACAAGTGAGGGGTGTGCCAAAGTGGGCAGGAGGCGGCATGTGAACACAGCCACTGGGGCCTTGGGTGGAGCTCCCTATGGGGCCACGAAACGTAAGAGAGGTGAGCCAAAGTGAACAAGGGGCGGCATGTGAACGCAACCACTGGGGCCTTGGGTGGAGCTCCCTATGGGGCCGCGAAACGTGTGAGGGGTGTGCCAAAGTGGACAGACGGCCGCACGTGAACGCAGCCACTGGGCCTTGGGTGGAGCTCCGTATGGGGCCGCGAAACGAATGAGGGGTGTGCCAAAGTCAGGGAGTGACAGGAGAAGGGAGGAGGGGGAGGAGGAAGAGAGGAGGGGAGGAGGAGGTGGAGGAGGACGCGGGGCCCCGTCTCTTCAAAACGACGACCCAACACAACAGGATGGTTTGGAACATACGATAGCTTTGAAGCCCCCCCCCGCAAACCAATACGAGCTACGAAAAGGAGGGAGAGGTATCTTCCGAAGCCCCCCCCCTTTGAAAGGGAAGCCCAAGTCAACGTTGGGCTCCGGAAAAGGTGGGAGGAAGGGGCTAGCTGTGAAGCCCACGACCGTGTCGCAAACACTCTCAGCATGCGCGAAAATGTGGGTGGTCTGATCATCTCTCCCAACCCCATCCTCCCAACCACAGCGCTGGGTTGGGCCCTGTAGCGGGCGGGCACGGCTTCGGCACCGCGCAGCACGTCGCCATCGCGCTGCCGGGCTGGCAGAAGCGCCGCTCGGTCTGCAGCCGCTCAGCTCGAGCGACCTCGACGGGTCTGGACTGGGGCCCGCTGGCCCCCAGTGCAGTCCGCAGGCGGCCAGCTTCGCACGGGACAGCGACCATGATGGGAGGCCTGGGGGAAGGGCTGTGGCACCACGCGCTGGGCTCGCGACGGGGGCGCTCCGACGCCGCGTGCGTCGTTGGCCAGCATGCACATCACACCAGAAGCTCGCCGGCCCGCCCACTCCAGGACAGCGCCGGCAGCGGTGCAGGCGCTCGCCTCGGCGTCTCCGGCCTCGCCGCCTCGGCCGCCGCGCGCGCGGCCAGCGCCGCCTCGCCCCGGGGGTGCTCTGCAGCGCGCGGCCACACTGGTGGGCGGCTGCGCTGGTGGCTGCCGGTGCGGAGTGGCGTGCCCCGTGCGTGCCCCGCGCGTGCACCACTCGGGCGGGCCTCAATGGGGCCGTCCTCCGCAGCGTCCCTTCGGCCGGCCGCCGCCCCGTCGCGCCGGCCCGTGGGCCCTCTGGGGTGGTTGGCACTCGCAGCGGGGTGGGCACGCCCCGCGGGACCCCCCTGCAACGCGCAGTCCAAATACACAGTCCCGCCTCCCTCGTCCCTCCTTCCTCCTCCTCCTCCTCCTCCTCCCTCCCTCCCTCCCTCCCTCCCTCCCTCCCTCCCTCCTTCCCTGCTTCCCTCCTTCCCTCCCTCCCTCCTCGGAGCAGCGCGGCCTGAGCCTGTCGGGGCGCTGCGTTGTCTTTGGAGTCCAGTCCGTCGTCGGAGCCCTTGTCCCTGGTCCAGATAAGGCCCGCCTCCTCGTCGTCCTCTTCCATGTGCGCGGGAGACGAAGAACTCCTCGTAGAATCTTGGTTCCGTGCCTCCCGGGAGCCGGAAAAGGAAGAGGAGCAGGAGGAGGAGGAGGAGGAGGAGGAGGAGGAGGAGGAGGAGGAGGAGGAAGAGAAGAAGGAGGCGGAGGAGGAGGAGGAGGAGGACCAGTGCGAACCCAAGACGCATCAACGACGTTGCATTACACCCTCCTCCCTCCAAGCTCCCTCTTCAGAAGGACCTACAAACAACAAATGCTCACTGTGGGAAGTGCCCCGTCGCAAAACAAACGTCTAGGAATCCCCAAGCGCGCCGGAATAACAATTCCTGGGACTTCAACGCCGCCAATCAAAGAGGGACTTCAACACCACGAATCAACGTGCCAGAGAACCTTTCCTGGGACATCACTGTGCGCACCATTCAAGCTGCTGTAACCGTTTAAAGCACATACGCGCGGCGATGAAGCGAGAGCCACATTTTGAAAACCAGCCGCCCTCCATCCAATTTTCGTAATTGTTTGAAACGACCACCCTCCATCCTTGAAGCTGTCGCAATTGTTTGAAAACGAATGTGCGCAGCGCTGAAGCGAGAGCCACATCTTGAAAACCAGCCATCCTTGAAGCTGTTGCAAGGTTGAAGATTCAGGCTCATACATTGTAAGAAAGTCTCGGGCGAAACGCCAGGCCCGCCCTACCGAAACGTCTGAGGGTGCGACATGGATGAGTTATTTATCACGGACAGGGACGGATGGAGAAGGAGGAGGAGGAGGATGAAAGGGAGACAAAGAGGGACGTGGGAAAGGAGGGAGGGACGGAGGTAGGAGGGAGGCGGGGGAGGGAGCACGGATGAGGATGAGGAGGTGCAGGAAAGAGGGACAAAGGGGGAACAAGAGGAGCAAAGGAGGAAGGAAGGATGGGGGAAAAAGGAAGCGGAGGAGGAGGAGCAGAAGCAGGAGCAGGAGGTGGAGGAGGAAAAGGGATGATATCGGACAGAGCCTCGTAAAGCTCCAAAGAAAAAAAGGCACCGTGGCCATGCGCGGCACGGCTGGCTATACAACCCCGTGCCCTCGCGACCTCTCGCGCTGTCGCATTTGTTTGAAAAGAGCAGCCGCAGGAGTCCCGCACGGCTGCTCACCAACAAGCCCACGAACTATCTCGACGCGTGTGGACTGCCTGCGGGTTGGCGGATCCGGGGCGACTCTCCCAGCAGGTACACCAGCACCAATGAAGGCTCGCACCTGGGAGTTCGGCGCAATCCAACTTTCCAGCCGAAACAGACTTCCAAACCAGCACCTGAAATCGAACACTTGCCTGACTTTTCGTGCCCATACCCCCTGGACCTCAAGTTCAAGTGCAAGACCCGCTGGGCGCGTGAAGAACCCGTGGAAGATGATAAATGGGTCCCTGATGCCGCCACTGGCTGATGCCCTGGCGCGTTTAAGGCGAGGGGCAGCGAAAACTCCGTACCCCGTGCGAAGGGGGGGAGCTACGCGGAGGGCCCACGCAGATACACCGACAACAGTGCCATCCAAGTTCGCCCCCACCCCCGACCGTGCCACCCTGTCCGAATCACCCTCGTCCTCCTCGTCCTCTTCGTCCTCCTCCTCGTCCTCCTCCTCCCTCCTCCCTCATTCCTTTTCCCTCCCTCCCCCCCCCACCGTCCCCGATCCTCCCTCTCCTCTCCTCCCCCCGCCCTCCTCCCTCCTCTTTCTCCCTGCACAGAATCCGCGGCCCTGGCGCCAGGGCCGTCTTCTGGGTCAGGTGTCCACCAGGTCCGAGCGTGCGGGCCAGAGGCTCCACGCGAGCTCGCCCCGAGAGGGGGGAGCGGCCGACGGGGGGGCTGAGACAGCGCCCAGATACGGGGGGCGACAGGCCACGCGGGCAACGGCGGCAGCACACACACACACACACACACACACACACACACACACACACACACACACACACACACACACACACACACACACACACACACACACACACACACACACACACACACCGAAACAACGGCAGGCACGGAAGGGAGGCTCGAGGGCCCACGCAGGAGATATGCTGGACGCCTTGGAGAGACACGCGGCAGGGCACGGTTGCGTTCCAGAGCAGACGGGGTCCGCGCAGGGGAGGTGGGCGCACGGGTGTCAGCAAGGGCCAGAATGAGTTGACGCCCCGGGGGCGCGCGCGCGCGATTCCGCACACTCGTGGACCGCCGGGAGGAGCGGAACGCCAGAGCCCGCGCGATCCTGGACCGCATCGAGGAGCACTTGGAGGTGCTCGACGAGTTGCCGAAGAGGGGCGCGGAGGACGAGGACGAGGCCGAGCTGGCGAATTCGATCAACAATGCCATCAGTGGGCGCACCGTGCTGAGCGAAGAGAACGGGAAGCGGCTCGACGCGCCGGTGAACAGGCGCGCGCGGCGGCGACGCACGGCGTGGAGGGGGCAGGAGAGAACCGGAAGGCGCAGGAGATGGGGCGCGCGGCGGGGAGGCGCCCCCCTTCCCCCCTCAGGCGCGCGCGCGCCCGTCAGAGGCGAGGAGCGGGGCAGGCAGAAGGGAACCGAGAGAGAGGGAGGAGCTGGGACTGCAAAAAGGGCGAGCAGCGGGGGCGGTGAGGGGAGCGGGCGGCGTCGGCGCGGCTCAGTGGTTGCGGCGGCAGCTGCCGGCGGAGCGTTCCGTCGCGCGCGGAAGGGCAGCGCCGCCTAGCTCACGGCGGGGCGCGCCTCCACCAGGCGCGCGCAGCGGGTCGCGGGGCCGCCGCCGCCCTGCCCAGGGCGGCGCGCCCTGCGGGATGGCAAGCGGGCCGCGCGGCAAGCTCCCGCGCTCCCCCGCCAAAGCGTCGCCGCCACGCGATCACGGCGGCGCCTCCGCGCGCCCGGGCGCGCGGGAGCGGCTGGGGCTCCTGGCCCGCGCGCCCCAGGGCCTCGCGCGCGACGGCCGTCAGCGCCAGGTCCGGGCAGCGCAGGTGCTTGCGCTCCTCGGCGGCAGCCGCGGCCGCGCCGGCACGGCCCCCGCCCGCGCCCGCGCCCGCGCCGGGAGGGCGTTCGTCGCGACGACGTCGGCGCGCGCGATGCCGGCCGCGGGTCCGCGAATGCCGCGTCAAGTCTGGCCTCCTCGACGCGGCCGCTGCGCTGCGCCCTGTCCCGAGCGGGGGCGCACTGCTCGGCGTCTACAGCGGCGGCGCCGCTAGTAGCGCGGATCCATCCTGCGAGCCGCTCTCGGGCGGCGTTGCGGCGCGCGATCGTCCCGCCGCCCGCGCGGAGTCCGAGGCGGCGCCCGGGCGCGGCGGCCAGATCGACCCCGCAATCCGCACCTTCTCCCTTGCAGCGGAGGCGCGCGGCGCAGGCGCCCTCGGGCGGGGGGGGCGCGAGCCGGCGGCCGTGGCCGGCAGGTTGCGCGCGTCAGCGAGGACGCGGTGTCCTCCTCCTCCTCCTCCTCCTCCTCCTCCTCCTCCTCCTCCTTCTCCTCCTCCTCCTCCTCCGGGCGGCGGGCAGGCTGCGCCGCTCTCCCAGAAGAGGCTGGCGGCAATCCCCGCGGGGAGGGAGCGCAGGGGAGCGCCGGGGGGGTGACTGAGGCGCAAGTCCACGCCTCCGCGCGCCAGTGGCCCCTTTGGCGGCGCTAGGCCTCCGCGGAGGCGCCTCGCGCGCAATGCAATGCGCGGCGCGGTGCTCCTCTTCATCATCATCTTCTATTTATGGTGAAGGATCGCAATGTGATTCTTGTTCTCCTGCTCCGCCCGGGGCGCGGGCGCGCGCCGCCGCCGCGCCGGCCTCCCTCCTGAGAGGTAATTTCAACGGGGGGCTGGCTCAGGCGGGTGGCATCGACCTGGGATCGGCAATGAGTCGCCGATGGATCGGCGACGGCCGCGCGGTCCTGGGCGGGGCGGGCCATCGGGCCCCCTATCGGCGACCAGTGGGCGGCCGAGGGCCCACGCGCCCCCCCCCGAGACCCCCCCCCCCCAGCGTTGCCCCCGAACGAGAGCGACGGGAGTCGGGCGGGGGCCGGCAGCAGACTTCGCCGCCAGGTCCGCGCACGCGCCAGCGCGGGCCGTCTGGCGGCGGGCCCCCGCGTCGCCCAGCTCGTCGATGCCCCGAGCCAGCTGGCGGGCCTCGACGCGAGAGGCCCGCAGAAGCTGATGCTGCGGGCCCCGAGGCGCGCGAGGTTCCACTCTCGCCATCGGGCTTGCGAGGCGAAGCCGGCGGGGGACAGGGCCAGGGAGCTGCCTGGCGGCGATCGCGCGGCCAACCGCAACGGGGCGAGCTCGATCTGCAGTCCGACCTGCCACGCGGACGGCCGCGTTCTCGGGGGCCCGCCGCCGCGGGCCCCCAGGAGGAGGAGGAGGAGGAGGAGGAGGAGGAGGAGGAGGAGGAGGAGGAGGAGGAGGACCTGGTCTGGAGCCACCAGGGGCCGAGTCGCTCGCTCGAGCTCTGAGGGCCCAGGCTCGGCACGCGACCCATCGACTCGCAAGCGTAGGCATCAACGGATTCGACGGGGGGGCAGCTCCCCTGGGGTTGAGATCGAAGGGGGCGTGCACGACCGCCCCCATCCAGCGCCATGGCAGGGCGCGACGCAGGAGGACTATCACTCCCATCGCGCACGAAGAGGCCCTGAGCAAACGAGGAGCTGTCTGACTGAGCCTGCCCCGGCTTCAGCAATGCGTTGCAGAATGAGCTCGCGCAGTGCCGGACATCGCTGGCAGTTGCGCAATCGCGCAGGCCATCTGCAAGGTGCCCTACGACTCTCGCGCGGCTGTGCGCGCAGAGCCCCTTGCAAGCGCGGCTGCAAATCCGAAACCTCGGACGCTTAGAGAACCGCTTCGTCGTCTCACTGGTCGAGCGCTCAGTCACATAAAAACGCTCAGCCCGCGCTCTCGCTACTGACCTTGGCTTCCGGAGCAAGCTCGCGCCGTCGCTTCGAGCCAGCGACCGGTAGCTGGGCCGTCAGACGCGGCCGCGTCTCGTCCACGCGCGTCGCGCAGCCTCGGTGGTCAGTCCATCGAGTGGGCGACTGCACTAGCCACCCCGCGCGCTGCACTGCCACTGGGCCCGCGGCTCGACGCCCAACTCGATGCCTGCTCAGGCATCGCGTCGCGCCGCAGCCTGAATAGGCAGTCGGCACCGACGCTCGTGCGAGAGCTGGCCGCCACGATGCACAACATGCGAGTCCTCTGCGCTGCGCGTGCAACTGCAGGATGGCCCGCGCCGTCGCCTTGGAGTACCAGCTTCGCAGACGCGCCGACGCCGCCATGCGCAAACAGATGCTCGAGTGCACGAACAACTCGCAGCCTGCCCACTCAGAATCATCCACCGAAGCCAGCCACCCCAAGCGACAGGCGACAATGCCATGCGAATCACCTCCCTTTTCGCCTGCACTTTGCCAACTCAGATCATGGCCTTCCCGAGCCTGCGCACCTTAGTCATTATGTTATCGCGACTGCCCCTTGGGTTTGCAGGCCTCTTGTCGCCCGTGGGTAAACTCCACAAAGCGCTGAGCCGATAGCACGGAGGCACAGACGATCACACTTCTCGCTGATCTTGGCCTCGAGCGCCTTCGGGGCCTCCAAGAAGCCAGCGTAGGCCACCGCGGCCACCGTCGGTGACAATCCGAAGCGACATGCCGGGGTTGCGGCGGACCAAGCCGCCACACCAGTCAGCGATGAAGATACAGTCGCCGTGCTACCATAGCGCAATGTATTTATTTTCGGGTGAAGGAAGGCCCGATGATGAACATTGCAAGCTTTCCAACGGATGGAAAGAGGACACCACCATGCTAAAACAGGCCAATGTCAACCAGCGTGGGACCCCAAACGAGGTGTTGCAAGGTGTTTCTAGCAAGATCTGCTGTGCAATCTCCTCACGCCAGCTCAGCCTCGCGTCCCAGGATTCCCTGTAGGCCCAACAATATGCCCGCGACAATGATGTCGACTTCTTCGGCCACGGCGGCGACCCCAACAGCCCTGCGGACGATAGCGAATACGTTCACATCTTTGGCCCTGCCGCTGACACGTTTTTTGGGGGACTCCACCACCTCCTATGGCAAGATCACGTCGCGAAATCCCTAATCCGCCCACTCTGCTCTCTGCTGGCTTCCTCGGCACCGCTTCTGGGGCCGAAAACACGAGAAAACAAGTGGCACGTGCCATGGCTCTTGCACAAAAAAAAGGGGGAGGAGGAGGTGGAGGAGGAGGGGGGAAGAGGGGGCAAGACATCGCCCCTCGGGGCCCAGCAACGGGGCCCAAATCCCAGGTGGGGAGGGGGGGTGAGGCGGTGTGCGTCGCGACGCGGAATAAAGTGCTCGGAGCGGAGGGGCACGGGGCGGAGGTCCCACTGGGGCGGTGGGGGCGCGGAGAGGAGGGGGGGGAGGTGGTGTGCGTCGCGACGCGGAATAAATGGTCGGGGCGGAGGGGGCACTGGGCGGGGCTTGGGGCAGAGGGCCACGGGGCGGGGGTCCAACTGGGGCGCTGGGGACGGGGGGGGAGGTGGTGTGCGTCGCGACGCGGAATAAAATTGTCGGGGCGGAGGGGGCACGAGGCTGAGCTCCCACTGGGGCGCTGGGGACGCGGGGAGGGAGGTGGGGGAGGTGGTGTGCGTCGCGACGCGGAATAAAGCGTTCGTGGCGGAGGGGGCAGTGGGCGGGGCTCCCGCTGGGGCGCTGGGGACGCGGGGGTGCTCGGGGCAGAGAGCCACGGCGCAGGGGTCCCACTTTGGCGCTGAGGACGCGCGGGGGGGGGTGCGACGCGGAATACAAAGGTCGGAGCTCTAGACACCCTGTGCAAGAGAATAATCGATGTCGAAAAACGCTAGGGCCGCACGGCCACACGGCCACACGAGAAAATAATATGTGACGTTCTCCAGCCCTCTTCGCGAAGCCGTGCTGGGGCCGCACGGCCCCACGGCCCCCACCGAGGCGCAGGCCACGGCGCCGCCCTCGCCAGTGCGGGGTGCGGGGGGGCGCGCCCCGAGGCCAGCGAGGCGCCAGACACGGCTCCCTCGGTCGGGGCCCTCGTCCCTCGCCAGGCCCCACAGCCAAACTGCGAGACCGCAGAGTGGTGGCCACTCGGCTCCTCCTGGGGCGCCGGACACGGCCAGCACGGCGACGACCGCGACGCCGTCCTCCGACAGACGGTCCACTGCCACCCCCGCAGCCCGCACCACCGCTCCTCCACCGGGCTCCGTGCGGGACCGCATCGCCGCCGTCGCAGCTCGTGTCGGGCCTCTGTGGGGGCCTCGCCTCCCGAGCACAGCAGCTCGTGCGCCCTGATCGCCTCCACGCCGCGCCCACGCCGCGTCCCGCCTCCCGCCGCAGGCCACCTGGGCGCCCCCAGGAGCTCGGCCAGCGCGCCTGGCCAAGAGGGCACGGGCGCAGCCGACCACGGCCGGCCATCCCCAGCAGCGCTGAGCCGAGCTGGCGCGGGCGCACTGGGGCACGGGTACCAACAGTGCCGTAAACGTAAACATGCCACTTCTGGAATCGGCGCCGGAGCCCTCTGCTGGCGCCTCCAGCGCCACCTCCGGCGCGCTCCGTGCGCCCGGAAGGCGGGGGGGGGGGGCAGCGCCGCAGGGTTGATGCGTATATGCCGATACGTGTTCTGCGACCTTCTCCCCCAGCCCTTCCCTCTGGCTCTTCCACTCCTCCGACGCCTTCGGTGCAATAAGAGGGGCAGGACAGTGACCAAACCCCTCCTGACAGAAGCTCCATACCCAGACATGCGATGTCCTGTTTTTTCGATACGAGGTCCCCGGAAGTCCCGACCTTTTCCCTGGGACCAGCTTTTCATCCCGAGGTGCTCTCATGACGGTCCCGGGGCTCAGGAAGGGCCCCCGAACAGAAAAAGATGCAAAACACACGCCCTGATTGTTTGAAGACGTTGCATGCCTGGGTGCAAGTCTGCCTATCTGACCGCCCCCCTGCCCTCCCGGCGCCCGCTTCCCCCCCCCTCCCCTCCCCACCGACCGACCGACCCACCCACCCACCCCACCCACCCAGCCACCCACCCAGCGATCGACGACGACGACGGCGACGACGACGGCGTTGCGCTGCGTCGCGTTGCGAAGGCGTCCTGCAGGGGTGCCACCTGGGCCCGACGCCGCACACAGAAGTGTACCGGTGCCACCTGGGCCCGACGCCACACCTGGGCCCAGTGCCACCTGGGCCCGACCGCTTGTACGACGACGACGACGACGGCGACGGCGACGACGACGACGACGACGACGGCGACGAGCACCACCACCACGGATGGCGCCGACGACAACGGTGGCGGCGGCGGCGGAGGCCGCCTGCGCCTCTGACACATCGCGGGCCCTCAGCTCCTGAGGCGGCCGCGGCGCACGGCGCGTGCGCTGCTTGGCGCGGAGGCCCCCTCGGCCTCGCCGCGGTCAGCGTCGTCGTCAGCGGCGCCGCTGCGGTCGTGGTCGTGGTGGTCGTGCATCGTCATCGTCGACGCCGTTGTCAATCGTCGTCGTCGTCGTCGTCGCCGTCGCCGTCGTCGCAGTCGGCCTCGTTCTCCTCCCGATGCTGATGCTACCGCGCCCCGTGAGGCCTCTCCGGCGTGGCGGCGACGACGATGGTGCATGTTCGCTGGGCTCTGGCACCAGTCGCACAGCTATCGCAGGTGCAAGCGCGCGTCTCGAAAGAAACTGCATCGACCAAGGGCTCAATCGTCTGACAGCCCGGCGACACAGAGTGCAGAGTGCCAGAGGTCGTAGCCGGTCTTCAGCACGAGGAAGTGGAGGCACATCTCAGCCCAGCATGCGCTGCAATGCGGCCGCCCTGCGCTCCCACAAATAGACTATCCGCGCTATCTCGTTCGCGCCCTGCTCGGTGAGTATGCCCCGCAGCCTGCCCGACAACATGCGGCTCTTGCCAACCTTGGAGGGGGGCCAGCTGAGACAACGGCTTCTCTCCAGCCTGGCCCAGCTCCGCTCAAAATCGGCCCCTGGACTCCTCACGGGGTCCATCCTGACCCGTTTTCCGAGGCGGTCCCAGCCGTGGCGACAAGAGGCCTCTGGGGAGCTCAAAGAGCACGACGGCCGCCAAGGGAACAATCGGCCCCCGGTCCACCCTGACCCTCTTTCCGGGGAGGGCCCAGCCATGGCGACACGTGGCTACGAGAAAGCCTCAAGGGGCCTCTCTCTCTCTCTCTATCTCTCTCTCTCTCTCTCTCTCTCTATATATATATATGATATATATATATATATATATATATATATATATATTCCTCTTCTTACATTTTTATAAGCCCGGGCGGGGTGAAAGCCCCCTCCCCCCCCCAAAACCGGACTCCCGGGACCTGGGGCTTTGGGACCCTCCGGACGGGCCTCGAAGCGGCCCCCCGGGCCTCGCAGGGCGTTTTGCCAAGCCTTCCCAGCACACCTAGGGCGATCAGGGGGGTCATCGGAGACGTCTCAGAGACCCCCAAGACAGCACAAGAGCGCTCCAAGAGTGACCAACGTGCCCTCAAGATGGCCCAAGAGGCCTCCAGGACGGCCCCAAAGAGGCCTCCAAGAGCACTCCCAAGAAGGCCCCAAGAGGCAAAATCATGGATCTTCTGTTGGTTTTTGGTGAATTGTGTGGTTTTCCTCTTTTCGGCTTCCCGACGCTCCAAAACGGCGGTCTTCTGCGCGTCCGAAGCCGCCTGGGAAGCTCCAAAATCGCCCCACAACCATCCGGAAGGGCTTCCAGGCAGTCCAAGAGAGCCCCAAAACGGCAGAACACGGGTCCAAGATGGCCCTCATAGAGCCTCATGGCGGCACAAGATGGCCCCAAGACTCCAAATCGTGACCAGGTCGTTCAGGGAGACCGCGGTTGGAGGCAGGGTGGCCCGAGGAAGCCCCCAGAGGCCCCCAGAAAACGCCCAGGAGGCCTCCAGAATGCCTTAAGAAAGCCTGAAACAACTTTTGCGATGCCCCCAGAGGCTCTCCCAGGAGGAACCTCCGCGAAAAAGAGCTGAGGAGGAGGGGGAGAATGCGCAGGGTATGGCGAAAATGAAGAAAAAGAAGGCTGGAGGGAGGATAACGAATAACATTATCATAGCGGCGATGCTGGAAAAGGCAACAAGGAGTTATCGCTAAATTGTCGGCTTGACCTTCCTGCTATTCCTTCTTGGCCCTTGCAGTTTGGCATGCAGGCGGAATAGCAGAACGAAGGCGCATGTCAGAGGGCCACAGAAGGCAACGGCCAGCCGACCCCAGACCCTAGGCCGTGGCTCACTGGGAAGGCAAACGCGGGGGGTGGGCGAAGGGAGGTGCGCCTTTCGTGCGCCTTCGGGGCACCAAGGGGCCACTTCAGGACCCTGTTGGGGCGCCTTCCCTTCAGCCTTCGATGCTCCCTTTCATAGAAGCCTCCTGGATGGGGTCGGAGCAGATGGTGCAGAAAGACCGCGCCGAATGGTCGATGCATCGCTGGTGCATCGGCGATGCATCGCTGGTGCATCGGCGATGCATCGCTGGTGCACCGGCGATGCATCGGATGCATCGGCGACGTCTGCAATGCATCGGCGTGGAGAACATCGGGCTCCACACCGAGCCGCATCGCCGATGCATCGGCAATGCATCGGCGATGTGGCGCGATCATCCGATTCCATCTGCTCCGAACCCATCTGGGAAGCCGGGATTTTACTGGTCCCTTACCCGGCCTCGAACCTCTCCCTACCCGTAAAATCGACAAGCCCAAGGCGATGACAATCTCATTTTGCGGATGTGCCTTCCGAATTTGAGGAAACCTGTAATATCGGCACCGAAATAAGGAGATGTTAGTCATCTCGGGTCGGGCGAAAGGGGGGGATAGCAAAGGGGGGGTTTGAGAATCAGCTCACGTAGCTGATTTTCCCGGCGCCTCCCGGCGCCGGAGGCGGCTATGTATCGAGGAATGGGCCCCTCGGTGAGGCCGAAACCAGCTGCATGCAGCAAATTTCGTACCCCCCCTCTTTCCCAATCCCCCCCTTTTCGTCTGGCCCGATCATCGGGGCAGGGATACGTTTCACGACTCGGGCTGGTAGCCCCCAGCACGAGACGCCTGGGGCCCTGCCGCTGCCTACGCCTCCGGCGGGCACTGCGCGGGCGCTGCGTGCTCGACGTCGGCGGCTCGTCGCACGAGCGACAGAGCGATCTCGGACTTGAGGAGAGACGGGGGCGGCGGCGGCGGCAGGAGTGGGGCCAGGGAAGAGAGAGGACCGGGAGGAGGAGAGAAGGGGAGGAGCTTCTCCACCTCCTCCTCCTCCTCCTCCTCCTCCTCCTCCTCCTCCTACTCCTCCTCCTCCTCCTCCTTCTCGTCCTCCATTCATCCATCCATCCATCCATCCCGAGAGCTGGGCATTGCGGGCTCTGATGCTTCATGAACCGCAGCTCTCCTCGTGGAGAAGGAGGGGGGACAAAGAGGAGGTGGAGAAGGATGGTCAGGAGGCAACTCCTGGGAGGTCTTCGTAAGAACGATTAAGCACCAAGCCAGATCAAGGAACCATGGAGCCACATCAGGCCGGATTGAGCCGGGAATGAAACCGAATCAAGCGGGAGGTCGGACGAAACGGGATGGTGCCCCATTAGGCTGGTGTCCGCCCACGGACGTACCAGCGCAGGTGCCGAATTCCCCTCGCCAGGAGCCGTACCCGAACGTGGGCGGGGGAGAGACAGGGACGATGAGGAGTGGCGGCGACGAGAGGACGAGAGCGGAGCTGGAGACGGAGGGCGGGCGAGGCGCGGGCGAAGCTGCAGCACGCAGAACGCGAGGGCCTCGGGCCCCACCCACGGGGCCCCCAGCCCGGGCCATGGCGCCGGCGCAGCCCCCCCCCCCCCCCAAAACGCCGCGGCCCGGCACCCCCCGTCGGAGAGCCGCCCGCCCGAAACGCCCAGCCGGCGCCCGCACCTCCGGCGGGCCCCCACGGCCCCGTACAGCCCCGAGCGGCTGCGCACCGGCCGCGGCGCTGGAGGGGCGGGGCGCGGGCCAGCGGCCAGGTCTCGCAGATGCTGCCCACGACGCGACGGGCCCTGCGGCCGGGGCTTGCCGGGCCGCCCCCCTCCCCCCGCAGCTGCCCCCAGAGAGGGTATAGGGGGAGGCATACGGCCCCCTCCTCCGAGGCGCCAGGGGGCCCCAAGCATGCCCAAAGAGGCGGATCGGAATCTCCCGCTGCTCCCGCTCCACCTGCTGCTCCTCCTCCTCCTCCTCCTCCTCCTCCTCCTCCTCCTCCTCCTCCTCCCCCTCCTCCTCCTCCCCCTCCTCCTCCTCCTCCTCCTCCTCCTCCTCCTGCTGCTGCTGCTCCTCCTCCTGCTCCCTCCTCCTTGCTCCGCGGCCCCAGTGGCCACTGTAGGGCCAGGTTTGTGAGGAAGTCCGCGCCGGCCGCGCGCCGCCGCCGCTGCGCTCGGCCCCACCTGCCGCCGCCGCCGCGTGCGGCGCCTACCTGCCGCCGCCGCCTGCGTTTCCTCCTGCTGTGGCTCCTCCTCTTCCCGCGAGGCTTCCCAGACATGATGGCGTCGTAAACAAATCAGGACGGGAGGCTTTTCGCTATTTTCGGCCCCGGGGGGCCCTCGCCGGGCCTCGGGACCGTCAAAAAACGACTCAGGACGAAAAACCGGTCCCGGGGAAAGGGTCGGGACTTCTGGGGACGCCGTCCTGAAAAAATCAGGACGTCGCATGTCTGGGTCCTTTTCCCGCGAGACCTCCCAGAGCCCATTCTAGCCAGTTTTCTGCGTCGACGAAGGATGTTAACGCTAGACAGTGGCAGAGGTCCTCCTCCAGCTTCCCACGCCTCGTCATCCTGCTCCTCCTCCTCCTCCTCTTTCTCCACCTTCCTGGTGCTCCTCATCCTCCTCCTCCTTCTTCTCCTCTTCCTCCTCCTCTTTGTTGCCACCGACGACATTGCCTCTATCGCAGCGCATGTGGCTGAGAGGTACCAGCAAAGCATTGCACCCCTGACAGAACCCCAATCAGGTTGCCTTAAGTCCCTGAACACGAGACATGCGTCACATGTAGGACTGACCTCAACGGTGGCTGACACAGCAGGCCAGAACAGACGGAACGAAGAACCCCACCCAAGCACGGGCATCTCGGGAGGTCCTGAAGGCAGAGTGTCAGAAGGCACTGTGCCCCACCCCCCACCCCCCCACAACAAAAAAGGAACCAGCTCGCCGTGGCACGAATGGCCAAGAAGGTTGGACTGACACGAAACACAAACTGCGACAGACGTGGCGGCCTGCCAGAGCAACAAAAAGAAGAAGCTGCAGCCTGTATCTTGCCATCCTCGCCACGAGCTGGACCATACGGCCCGCGCGGCCAGTCAGGACATCCAGCAGGCTGGACAGTATTACCCGTGGATGCAACAACACGGGCAGCACGAGCCTGCGCGCCATGAGGGGCGCGCAGGGGACCAGCGAGCTAAAAGCAAGGCCACGAGAGGGAGAGCCTCCAGGCGGGGCAAAGTTAGAGAAACTAGCAAGTCCAGCAATCGGAGAGATCTCCGTTGAAAAAAGCACATTCACATCAGTCGCATGAATTCGCCCAAGTCAACATGGACTCCGTCCTTGTCTGGATGGAGGCCTTGCAGGCTTTCCTGAGAACGACCACCTGAGCTCCGCTTGAACAGAACTTGCAGGTCAACACACAAAAGGAAATGGGAAGCATCCGAGCACGGAGAAGCGAGTACTCGATGCCCTAACTTCTCCAAGAGACCTTGATTCAATTTGGACCGACCAGGGCAAACACCGTGTCAGCACGAGACACATTCTCAACAATCGTGGAACCCCGTCTAACAAACTCCACAGCGCCAGAAGCCACCCGCTCTGATCAACGAGCGGCACAAAATCGACTTGGGTTTCGGAGGCGGCTGGGACAACGGGCCAGCGCAGTAAAATGGCAGCACTGAGCTTGCAAACATGCTCAGCAATAGCGATCCTACGATCCAGTTCCTCCAGGACTGCGGGGCCCGCCGACGGGTGTGGCCTGAGAAATCTGAGGGATCAACGATTCGTCCAACAAATTATGTTTTTTGGCCGAATGCATCCGAATACAACCGTGGCCGTGGCCGCTTCGAAGCAGCGTTTGAGTGCGCCCCAAGCATTCCGGTCGGTGGAGACGGCCGAGACCTCTTCATCAAAAAGTTCAGAGCCACCATCTCCTCCAGTTTTGCGCACCGCATCAGCAGCAACAGGGAGAGGAGAGGTGCGGGGAGGAGGATCCTTTTATCAGAACAGGGGGCAAAGGCATAGCACCTGGACTGAGAGGGGCATTGATGGTCTGAAAGCCAGGCTGCTGGCCCAACAAGGGCCCAGGGCACTGAGCGACTTGGAGTTTATCGACGAACGACGATCAGCAAAATCTTGGTTTCTATTTAAAAAATCAGCGCTCGAAAACTCGCGCTCGAGCTGCGCTCCGAGTTGCCCCCTTCCTGTCCCATGTCCGTCCGTAGTTGCATTTGGGCTCAAGTTCTTGAGCCTGAAGCCCACGACATCATCAAACACAATGCCATTCCGGTACAGTGCATGGCCATGCCTAGCTCATCCGCCGCTGGGTCGTCCCGTTTGGGCGCCCAGGAGACCGGCGGCGCGGGCGTCTCCCCATCGCCAGAGGGTGGAAAGGCCGGTGCGAGTGTCAGACGCTGGCTCTGCGGCAGGAGCCACGCCGCCGCCGTCGGCTTCAGAAGCTCCCGCCCCTGCCCCACGCGGCATCTCAGGCCCGCCAGGTGCCCCGCCGTCTGCAAGAGGAGGTGCTGCTTCACCCCCAGCCGCCGCTTCACCATCGTTTCCTTTGCCTTTCTGCTTGGCCAAGCGAGTCTTGCGGCGAAGATGTGCTTCGCGAGATTCGCTTGCAGCCGTGACAGCATTCTTGAAAAGGTCGTTCGCCAAATACTTTGACGCCATCACGTGATATAGTGTTCCGCTTCTCCAATTCCTGATGGTCACCGTCAGTGATCTCGAACTCGTCGTCTGCGAAGCTCTCGAGGAAGTCGCAGCTGATGAGCGGTCAGAAGCCCACCTTCCCATCCATGATGCCCGCCCGAGGAACCGCCGTGGATTCCGTCGCGGCCGTGAGGGATGTCGACATCCGTCGTGAGAGAAGCCAATGGTTCTTTGTACTCCTTATCAGCCAGCGCCAGTTGTGCACGAGCTTCTGCCACCATGGTAGTTTGCTCTGCCAGATCAGCCTGAAGCTGGAGAAGTCGCTGAATTTCATGCTCAAACTTTTTCTCCGTTTTCTGAACTGCTCCATGACACTGCTGGACCTTGGTCTGAGGCGAGATACATGGTAGCGACACCGCCGACTCCAAATGTTCGACCAAGTACTGATACTTCCTGGCGTTCTCGGAGTCTCCCGCCTTCTCCGAAAGCTCTGCGAGTGAGGGTGCCTCGGCCAGACGGCGAGACTGATGTTGGGTACCGGTCCAACCGCCAGGGGGACCCTCTCAGGCACATGGCGTCCATCCGGCCTGCCCTGGACAACTTTGTCAGGTCGGAGTGGTCGAATCAAGTGCTGTTGGGTCTAGGGGAGCATACGGTGCGCGGGAGTGGTTCAGGGCGAGCATCAGAGCTGCCAAAAGAATTCGCTTCCAACTCTGAATGCAAGACTACATATGACTGGTAGGTTGGGGTAGGCGGAAAGACAGCAAACGATTGTCTGTTGCCCAGCGTGCAGTGAATCAGGCGACGAAGGCCGAAAGCCCAGGTGAGAGGACCCAACTCTCAAACTCAGGGCCAGAAAAGTACACAGTACATAATTGCACATTGACCTGCACAAGCGTCACACATCGGGAGGAGTATGAGAAGAAGAGAATGAGGAGCAGCTGAGTGAGGAGGAGGAGGAGGAGGAGGAGGAGGAGGAGGAGGAGGAGGAGGAGGAGGAGTTGAGAGATGGATGATGATGCTGATGATGCTGATGATGCTGATGATGCTGGTAATGATGATGCTGATGGCTCGGATGCTGGCGCTGATGTCGAGGCTGTTGCTGCTGCTGGTGACGATGATGTGCTCTCAGGGGCCGCCGCCCCCCCCCCCCCTGGAGCAGGGGGTAGGCGGGAGGGAGGCAGGCGATGCGCCGAGGGCAGGGAGAGCGCGCCCCCGTCCTGCGCCGCCGAGGCGGCCATGGCGCCCGCCTGCGGCGCGCGCGGCGCCGCCCGCGCATCCCCGTGGCCCCGTGCCGCCCCGCGGGAGGCCGCCAGCTGCACCACCGGGCACCGACCCTCCGGCGGCGCCCCCCCCGAGGGGGGGGGGGGCCGGCGGACCTCGGGGCCCGAGGCGTGGGCGCGGGCCCACGGGGAGGAGGGCCTCGAAGAGCCGTGGCCCGCGAGGCCCGCCGCTGGCCCCCGGGGGGGGGCGTCGGAAGGAAGACGGTCGTGTGCGAAGTGGGGGCCTCCTGGGAGGGGGAGGGAGGGAGGGAGGGAGGGAGGGAAGAGGGAGGGAAGGGAGGGAGAAGGAGGAGGGAGGGAGGAGGAGGAGGAGGAGAGAGGGGAGGAGGAGGAGAGGAGGAGGAAGGAGGAGGAGGGAGGAGGAGGAGGAGGAGGAGGAGGAGGAGGAGGAGGAGGAGGAGGAGGGAGGAGGGGCTCCGGGGAGGGGAGGCTTTCGTCGACTGCTCGAGGCGGGAGGCGGCAATGCAGTCGTCCCTCTTCGAGAGCTCGAGGCGGGGCACCCGGGGAGCACCAGCAGACCTGGGGGCCTCGTTTCGCTCCCGTGCTCGCGGCGACACGGCGGAGGAGGACCCGGGAGCGCACACCTATGCGACCACCCTTCGGGTGAGGAGGTTCGGGGGGGAAACCAGCATCTCACTCAATCGGTCTCACGATCGATCTCACTATGGATCTCACCATCTGTATCACGATCGAACTCAATATAGATCTCAGTCGGACTCACAAACGATCGCACAATCGATCTCACTATCAATCACACGATCGATCTCACTACGGATCCCGATCTCGATCAACCGATCTCACTATCGATCTCACTATATATCTCATTACGGAACAAGCTCGGACACCGCCAGGACACCGACGGGACACCGACGGGACACTACTATCGATCTGAATATCGATCTAACTCGATAAATCTCACTATCGACCTCACAGTCGATCCGACTATCGATCTCACTATCGATCCCACTATCGATCTGAAAATCGATCTTCCTATCAATATCATTACGGGACACTGCCGTGACACCGCCAGGACACCGCCAGGACACCGACGGGACACCGACGGGACACTACTATCGATCTCAATATCGATCTCACTCGATAAATCTCACTATCGACCTCGCAGTCGATCCGACTATCGATCTCACTATCGATCCCGCTATCGATCTGAAAATCGATCTCCCTATCAATATCATTACGGGACACTGCCGTGACACCGCCAGGACACCAACGGAACACCGATGGGACACCACTACCGATCTCACTCGATAGATCTCAGCAGCGAACTCTCTATCGACCGCTCTGGGTCTCGCAGCCGCCGGCAGCCAAAAGCCATCCCGGCATGGATGACAGGGGAGGCGGTGGGTAGACGAAGCTACGGTGCGTCGACACACACACACACAAGCACACACATACATACACACACATGCGCTTTTTCACGGTCGCGGCCTCGCGCGCAGAGTCGTGGCGGAGCAAGCCAAGTCAGGCAAACGGAGCCCGCGAAACACACACGCACACACACAGACACACACAGACACACACAGACACAAACAGACACACACAGACACACAGGCAGACACAGACACAGACACAGACACAGACACAGACACAGACACAGACACAGACACAGACACAGACACAGACACACACACACACACACGCACACACACACACACACACACACACGCACGCGCGCGCGCGCGCGCGCACGCACGCACGCACGCACGCACGCAATTCACGGGCCCAGGATTGGCCGTGCCGGAGCTGGCTGTGAGGGTGGTGCAGCTGGCGTCCCCCGACTTCGGGCGGCGCCCCGCCGCCACACGCCAGCCAGCTGCCGAGGAGGAGCGCCCGGGGCAGCGCGGGCACGCGAGGCGGGGACTCGCACGCGTCCACCGCTCGGGGAGCCGACCGTCCTGGGTGGCGGTGGACACGGACACCTGGGCCCCAGGAGGCCCGACAGGACGCCACCACGCCCACCAGGAAGATCGGCGCCCCGGGCGGCGGACGTCATGTCGACAAGCCCAGGAGGAGGAGGAGGAGGAGGAGGAGGAGGAGGAGGAGGAGGAGGAGGAGGAGGGAAGAGGAGGAGGAGGAGGAGGAGGAGGGGGAGGGATGATGATGATGCTGATGCTGATGCTGATGCTGATGATGATGATGATGATGATGCTGATTGATGCTGATGATGATGATGATGATGCTGATGATGCTGATGCTGCTGCTGATGATGATGATGATGATGATGATGATGATGATGATGATGATGATGATGATGATGATGATGATGATGATGATGATGATGATGATGATGATGATGATGATGATGATGATGATGATGATGATGATGATGATGATGATGATGATGATGATGATGATGATGATGATGATGATGATGATGATGATGATGATGCTGATGCTGATGATGCTGCTGATGATGAATGACGATGAGAAGGAGGAGGAGGAGGAGGAGGAGGAGGAGGAGGAGGAAGAGAAGGAGCCTCGGAGGGCCTGGCCGTCGGCCGAGCAGATGCACGGGCCCGAACGCGCCGATGGTGGCGGCTGCTTCTTCTCGGGCGGCGCCCGCCCGGCAACGATGGAGAGGCAGGACCATTCAGCACCGAATCGGGAAATCGCGTCGGATCGGGCCCCAGACATGATGGCGTCGTAAAAAAATCAGGACGCGAGGTTTTTCGCTATTTTCGGTCCCGGGGGGCCCTCGCCGGGCCTCGGGACCGTCAAAAACGAGTCATGACGAAAAACCGGCCCCGGGGAAAGGGTCTGGACTTCCGGGGACGCCGTCCTGAAAAAATCAGGACGTCGCATGTCTGGGGCTGCATCGGCACGGAGCTGGACTCGAGGTCGAGTGGGCCGCGCCAGGGTTCCCCGCAGAGCGCCACGCAAGCCGGGGGGCCGCCGCGGAGCTTCGAGGTGTCGGCGAGGAGTCGGATCGGAGTGCCCCGGGACCGATAGCGACTCGGATCGGTCGGAGCGACGTGGACCCCAATGAGGAGGAGGAGGAGGGAGGAGGAGGAGCAGGAGGAGGAGGAGGAGGAGGAGGAGGAGGAGGAGGAGGAGGAGGAGGAGGAGGAGGAGGGAGGAGGAGGAGGAGGAGGAGGAGGAGGGAGGAGGGAGGAGGGAGGCAGAGCGGCCGAGAGAGGCCGGGCGCGCCGAGGCAGGGCGAGGCAGGGCGGCGGCGCGGGCCACGGGCGGCGCGGGGCGACGGCAGCAAAAGGTCGTCCCCTGACTATCTTTGGACTATGTTTGAATCTTTCTCCTGTAGAGGGACGTGCCCGACTTACATGTCGGGGGGGGAATGGCGCCACTGCTGGGTACCAGGGGCGCCAAACGCGTCGAGAAGGGCGCCTGCCTGGCGGCCGAGACGACGCCAAGCTGCATGCACACCGGACTGCTCCCCCGCAACTGAGAGCGCGGGGCAGCACGGAGCGGGATAGCGTGCGCGCCGGCCAGGGAGGCGTGCGGCCGGAAACCTTTGCCGTGGCGCGTCGCGGCGGCGGCACCGGCAGCACGCTGTGCCCTGCAGGCGGGCAGCGTGTCGCTCCGCTCCGCGGGGCGGGAGGCTCGGAAAGGCTCAGGGCGTGGCGAAAAAGAGCACGAGGAGAGGGAGGAGTGAGGGATGGAGGGAGGGAGGGAGGAGGATGACAGGGAAGAGGAGGCGCAACAGGGGCAGCAGCAGGCGATGACAATGGTGCGAATCGATCTCCGCGCGCAAGAGTGGCGTCGTTCCTTTTTCCTGCTGGCTCAAGCAAGTCGAGCGCCCAGCGAGTGAACATAGCAACGACAAACCAAGGCGGGCGCAGAGGGCGGGGCATCCTGACGGAGGGCTACAGCCCCTATCCCATCCCGCGCCCGAGCGGTTCCAGACTGCATCAAGAGGCGGATGAGGAGGAGGAAAGGAAAGGAACACGCGAAAATGAACAGGAAAAGAAAGAGGAAAAGAAAAAGGAGCAGGAACAGGAGGAAAATATAAGGGCCCTGGGAGGCCCGAATAATAATGCAGACAGCGCCCCAACAAAAAAGCGACCTCGATCCTGGACCCTCGAGGGGAGAAGGGCTCCCCCCTGCCCCCCCCCCCGATCCTGGCAGGGCCCGCCGCCCCTGGGCGCGGGATTCTTGCCCCTGGCCCCCCGCCGCCGGCAGCGCCGCCTCACGCTGGGGTTCCGTGGGGACCTCCCCCCCGTTCCGCCGCTGCTGCCGCCTGCTCTCAGCACAGCCCGCCATGCAGCCTGCTCGGCCTCGTCCCTCTGCACTTTGCCACTCGGGGACGCCCTTCGGCCCCGCTGCCGCTGGCCCCCGCGGCCCCCCTCCTCTTTGCGTGCGGGCCGCCGACCTCCTGCACTGCCGCCGCTGCCCCCGGCCCCTGGGAGGGGTCGCGACGCCGCCCCGTGCCCGCTGCCAAGGGGCGCAGCACCGGCCTGGCCGCCCTGGGCGCCCCGCTGCGGCGCCCCGCATTGCAGCTGTTCCTTCCCCTCCTCCCGCGGCCGCTCCCCTCCTCCCCGTCTAGCACCGGCTTGGCCGCCCTGGGCGCCCCGCTGCGGCGCCCCGCATTGCAGCTGTTCCTTCCCCTCCTCCCGCGGCCGCTCCCCTCTTCCTCCCTCTTCCCCTCTTGCATCCGGGCAAGTCGCACTGCCGTCGCCCGGCTTGCCCGAGCGCGCGTGCGGACTGCCTCTGCCGCGCTGCGACGTGACAAGTGCTCGGCTCTCTGGTGCGCACCGACCCTGAGCCCAGTACGTATCGGCCGGGGCCAGGGTCGGTGAGGTGGCCAGGCTGTGCCCCCTGACGAGGATGAGGCTTCCACTCCGCCCGCCCTCCTTCCCTCTGCTCCTCCCCCTCCGCCATCCCTCCCTCCCTCTGCGCCTCCCCCCTCGCTGCACCCATCGCACCGCGTCGCCAACGCGTCGCCGACACGTCGGCGATGCTTCGGCGATGCGTCGACGCCGTCGACGCGGAGGAGATCGGGCTCCAGCCGCACATCGGCGGTGCGGTGCACTCTTCCGACCCCGCCCGCTCGGAGCCCGTCCGGGAGGCCGGGTCGGTCCGTGCGCGGGGGGTGCCGCTCTATGGGCGAGGCGTGCGAGCGCTCGCGAGACCACGGGCGCCTCCCTGCCTGGACCCTCGGGCCAGGCGCCCCGGGTCGGGCCTGGCCCGGCCCCGGAAGCTCGTGGGAGAGGCAGAGTGTGTCTGAGCAGGAGCGTGTTGCAGAACAGGCGCGGGGCCACGCGGCGCAGTTTGTGTTTGGGGTGCGCTTGTGCCTGGGCGCATCTCAGCAAGGGCAGACTGCCAAATGAATGCCACGCGTTTTTCCTTGCAGCCCGCCTTCAGCACAAACCGCGCTGTTGACACAGGGTCGGCCTCCTGAAACCCTGGATCCGAAAATTTGGCGTCTCGCCGTTAACTCCTGTGCCACCCTCCACCAGGCTTACGCCGGCGGGGCCGCCGCCGTTTTACTTCTGCCGGCTTCCGCCAGACGCACCGAATTCGAGGTCCGATCTCGGAAGCCATGCGTGTCGTGCCCCGCCCCCTCTGCTGCCCTACCCTGCTAGAGGAGGAATAGGGAAATCCTGACCAGACCAAGGGGGAGGGGACGATCGAGACTTTGCAGGGCATCGCCTCAAGGACACGACCCTAAACGAACCTGGGGGAGCTCACTTCTTCTTGTCGGCCTGGTCGGGTCCACCTGGGAACCTCAGGATGCCTTTAGTTTTGCACCCTCTCCCATGTTTCTCTCGGTGGCGAACGAACTCGCCCCTCCTCGTCCTCCTGCCCCTCCTTCTCCTCCTCCTCCTCCTCCTCCTGCTCCTCCTCCTCCTCCTCCTCCTCGTCCTCCTCCTCCTCCTCCTCCTCCTCTCTCCTCCTGCTCCTCCTCCTCCCCCTCCTCCTCCTTCCCCTCCTCCTCCTCCTCCTCCTCCGCCTCCTCCTCCTCGTCCTCCTCCTCCCCCTCCTCCTGCTCCTCCTCCTCCTCCTCCTCCTCCTGCTCCTCCTCGTCCTCCTCCTGCCCCTCCTGGCTGTGGGAAAAAGTTGGGCCCTGATCGGGCGGGCCGCCCCCGTCGAGCGAGGCGCAGGGGTGGCGGGGAGAGCGCGCCCTCAGCCCGCGAAGATCGCCGAGGTTAGGGCAAACACCATCGCGCCGACGCCAAACCACAGCAGCATGATGTCCAGCGCTGGGAGTCGGAGGAGGAGGAGGAGGAGGAAGAGGACGACGACCTCCTCCTCCTCCTCCTCCTCCTCCTCCTCCTCCTCCTCCTCCTCCATGCCCGTTGCTGTTCGATGACCCATCCGTGTCGCAGACCAGGCTGAAATTTGCAACCGCTAGAATGGAGTCGGATCAAGGGGAGGCAGTTTAAACCATTGTGATCTCGCCTGAACGCCGCGCACATTCGCCTTAAAATCACTACCCAGCCACACGAATGGAGAAGAGAAATCTTCAACATGAAGCTCTCGCCGTAGTGACGAGCACATTCGTCCTAAACGAAGACGGTTCTCTACTCAGAATAAAACTCTCGCGCTAGCGCCGCGCACACTCGTACTACAAGCTTGCAACAGCTACAAGGATGAAGAGGGTGGGTGCACAATAGAGCTCTCGCCTTGGCACCGTGGTGACTCACGTCGTCGCAGCGTTTCGTAGAGGACATTCGTTGTCTTCGTGATGACTTACGACTCTGGCCAGCACCTTCGCCCTCTTCATGATTACCTAGTGAGTCCTCTCCCCCTTCATGATTACCCAGTGAGGCCTTGAGTGGGAACAACAACACTGTTGCGTGAGCTGTGGCCCCGTGCCACAAATTCCACCAGCCCTTTGGGCTAAAGTGGTCTAGAGAGTTCGTTCTTTCCTCATCCAAAAAGCCCTCTTCCCTTCGGGGAGGGGTGCCCCTCCTCCCCCCTCCCTGAAGTTTTTTGGAGCGGTTTCCGAGGTATCAGGGCGCCCAAGATGACCCAATATGGCTCCAAGAGGGCTTCCGATGCTCCAAGATGGCCTCGAAGGCGGCTCGAGATAGTCGAAGAGTGTCCAAGCTAGCTATCGGAACACACCCAAAGGCCCGACGAGGGTCACAAGACGATTCCAAGTGCCCTCGGAACCCCCTCAGGACCCCCCCCAAGAGGCAAACATCCTTCAAACACCAACGGGCAATCAATGATGTGTGCCTTCTCGCCGTTTCGCTTCCGATGCGCTTTGAGGCCTCACTATGGCCCTGGCCCAAGAAAGGCCCAATAGGCCCCCCAGACGGCCCCAAAAGTGCCCTGAAGCGGCTTAAGAACGCCCAAAGAGGGCTCCACGAGGCAAGTTTAATGGCCTCAGGGTGGGGGCAGAAATCGAGGACCCCCCTCCTTTGACCGACGCCCTACAAGGTGACCCACGGCGCCGCACAGGGCTCCCAAGAGGGCCCCAAGACGGCCCCAAGAGGACCCCTCCTCCTCCTCCTCCTCCTCCTCCTCCTCCTCCTCCTCCTCCTCCTCCTCCTCCTCCTCCTCCCTCCTGCTTCTCCGTCTCGTCGTCGTCATCCTCCTCCGCCTCCTCCTCCTCCTCCTCCTTTCCCTGCTCCCTCCCCCCCTCCTTCGCCATCCACTTTCTCCTCCTTCTTCTTCTCTTTTCTCCCCTCTGCCTCCCCCTTTCGCGCACGGGGTGGTGAAGAGGATGATAATAGGAAGGACAAGGAGGAGCGTGAGGAGTGGTAGGGGGAGCAAGAAAGATAAGCAAGAGAAGGATGAGGAAGATGAGGATCGAGAAAAGGATTAGCGAGAGAAGGAGGAGGAGGAGGAGGAGGAGGAGGAGGAGGAGAAGGAGGACGAGAAGGAGGAGCAGCAGCAACAGGAACAGCAGGAGCGGGAGGTGAAGAGTGCGATGGGGGGAGCAGGAGGAGAAGGAGGAGGAGCAGACGGAGGAAGCAAGAGATGCCTTTCGCAGTCGCCCCATCGGCGCACAGGATCAGGTGGAACAGCGCGGGGTACACGAACGCCACCGGCGCACAGCAGAGGGCGCCGACGAAGGCGAGGAAGCGCTCGAAGTACGGGCCGCACAGCACCGCGATCAGGCAGAATGTCAGGATCTCGAAGGTGCGCATCGCGTTGATGCGCCAGATGCGGTCCCCGTCCTTGTCGGGGTCCTCCTCGCTGGCCCCGAAGGCCCACAGCTCGGTGATGCGGGCGGCGGGCAGGAACATCAGGGGCGTGCTGAAGCACAGGGCCAGCATGTACCCGAACTTGGCCGCCATGGTCCAGGCACTGTCCTCCGGCAGGTTCAGCAGCACCACCGTCTCGACGCGCCTCTTGTAGGAGATGTAGCCGATGAGCCCGAAGAGGCAGAACATCAGCGATATGCACGCGAAGACGCCCGCGAAGAGCGGGATGAAGCGCTCCTTCTTCGCCATGGAGTTGCGGATCGGAAGCACCATCGGCACGCCCTCGAAGGTGAAGATCGTCATGCCGATGAAGATGCCGCACGTCTCCGGCCTGAACGGCACGACGGCCTTGTAGTGGGGGTCATCCAGCTGCTCGCGCCACATTGAATAGTCTCCACGAATGCTCCTTCCGCCCCTCCCCCTCCCCCTCCCCCTCCTCCTCCTCCTCCTCCTCCTCCTCCTCCTCCTCCTCCTCCTCCTCCTTGCCCCTGGCAGCTCCTTGACCCTCGCCCCTACGTCCCCCCCCCCCCTCGTCTTCCTCCTTCCCCCCAGAGGGGGAAGGGAATGATGAGCAGACAGGGGGGGGAAGAATGAGGAAGAGCAGCAGCAGCAGCAGCAGCAGCAGCAGCAGCAGCAGCATGAGAAAAGCGAGAAAGAAGGAGGAGGGGAAGAGGAGAGGAAACGATCCCCCGCCTCTTCCCTCTTCCCCCCTGCGCATCCAGAGAAGGGTGTCGATGGCGTCTGTCGAGGCCATCGTGATGCAGCCGTACACGATGACGACCACGAGGCCAAACAAGATGAGGATGTCAGCAATGAGGTTGGGATACTCCAAGTGCTCAACCTCCCGATCCTCTTCCTCCAGTTCCTCCTCCTCCTATCTTCCTCAGCACCATCGTCATCATTGTCCTCTTCCCTGCTCCTCCTCCTCCTCCTCCTCCTCCTCCTCATAATCATCATACCAACCCTATCCTCCTGATCATGTCCTCCTCCTCCTCCTCCTCCTGTCCCCCTTCCTCCTCATCATACCTCTTTTCCCTTCGACGCCTCCATCCTGCCCTTTCTTCCCCTCCCACTCCTGCAACTCATCAACTTGTCATCCTCCTCGTCACTCTCCACTTCCTCTCCCCGCTCATCTTTCTGCTGCTCCTCCTGCTCCTCCTCATCCTCCTCCTCCTCTCACCAAAGGCTTCTTGTCTTTTTTTTCCTAGTGTCGGCGCGTATACCTGATGTATGCGTCTCTTCCTTATCATCCTCCTCCTCCTTCTCCTCCTCGTCTTCCTCCCTTCCCCTCCACAACCCACCCATGTCAATCCCCTTATGTTCCTCCTCCCCTCCCTTCCAGTTCCGGGCCCCCCAACGGGTTTCACGCGTCCACAAGTCTGTAAGGCACCAGTGATCCTCCTTCCCCACTCCTCCTCGTCCTCCTCCTCCTCCTGCTCCTCCTCCTCCTCCTCCTCCTTCTACTCCTCCTGCTCCTCCTACTCCTCCTACGCCTCCTCCTCCTCCTCTTTCTCGTCCTCCCCCTCCTTCTCCTCCTTATCCTCCCCGCCTTCTTCTCCTCCTCCTGCCCCACTCCTCCCCCCTCTCCTCGTCTTCCTACTGTCTCTCCTCCTCCTTTTCTTCGTATCTCAAATCCTCCTCGTGTTCATCGTTGTCCTCCTCCTCTTCCTGTTTCTGTATAACCCGAGCGTCCAACCGAGCGGATGAGGCAGAGCGGCACCAAGATGGGGAACAGCACGCACATGATCCACGGCGTGCCCACGTGGCCAATCGAGTTGACCTCAACGGCACCCCACCGACTCTGGCTAAGTATGCCATAGTTCATTCCCCTTCTCTCTCCTCCTCCTCCTCCTCCTCCTCCTCCTGCTCCTCCTCCTCCTCCTCCTCCTCCTGCTCCTCCTCCTCCTCCTGCTCCTCCTCCTCCTTAAGCTGGCTCATCCGTTTCAATATCGGCATCCCCCCGTCCTCCTGTTCCTGTTCCTATTCCTGCTGCTCCCCTCCTCACCCTCCTCATCAACCTCCCTCATCATCTTCATCGTCATCCTACCAAGCCCCTCCCCCTGCTCGTTTTCTGCTCCTCCTCCTCTTCCTGCTCCTCCTGCTCCTCCTGCTACTGTACTCCTCACTCCCCTCCGCCTCTGTCTTTCCCATGAGCCCAGCCCAGGCCACTTTGTGTTGTATGCTATGTTGGGGGCGGAACGTCCTTGGCAAGGGTCCCCTTTGATATCCTTGCAAGATGCCTAGGTCACTAGTGTGACGGCCACTCTCGAAATGCTGGGAACTAGTTTAGTAGCGGCCAGACCGCTTCGTCAGGAGGAGTGGCCTGTGCGAGAAAGGACGAGACTGCGTCTACAACAACAGCCCTGGCAATACAGACTGGAGTGCAAACTCTGTCTAACCCCGTACACACGGATTCGATGCACCATGCTGTCGCTGAGTTCTTGCCTCCGCGAGTGCCCCCGTCGGCGTGCACCAAAAAGTTTGCCTTGAGCGGTAAAGCTGTACTCCCCGAAAGTCTTCGTTCATGCCTTGCCTTCGTCCATCGCGTACCTGGCGAGATATCAGGGATCTTGCTGTAAAGCTCACCCCGCTGCCAACGAACTACTGCACCATCGATGTCCCAGGACGGTCTCCAACCACGGTCGAGGACGTCGAGGACGTCCCCGGTGATGCAACCAAATGCAAGCTCTAGGCTTATGTTGGCCATGGCGATCTGCCCATTTACCACGGCAACTAGAGGCTGGCAGTCGACGGTGATGGTACATCTGTCCCGCATACTGTCCCGCACTGTCTCTGGCGCTCTTCCCCTTCACTTTCCCTCCCCCATCCCCTCCGCCCCCCTTCACTCCTCTCCACCGGCGTCTCCTACCTGCTCCTCCACGCTCGTCCTTCTCCTCGTTCTCTTCTTGTTCCCCATATCCTAAGATGGGGTTATTGTTATTACTTGGACGCCTCCTACTCCTCCTTCCTCTTCTTATCCTCCTCCTCCTCATCCTCCTCCTCATATCTAGACTTACTCATACACAAAGTTATTCATACACAGACTTACTCATACTCAGACCTGATCATATTCATTGATTCATACTCAGACCTACTCATACTCAGACCTACTCATACTCAGACTTACTCATGCTGAGACTCACTCATACCCAGACTTACTCATACTCAGACCTTCTCTCTGTCTGACTTATTCAACACACAGCAGATTGTGAGGATGTCTCAAGCGGGGCGCTGGTTTCAGCACCCCTAAGGGGAGCCGCCGGGGGGGGTATGACACGGTCCCGTTCGCGGCCGTTTTGTGGGGATGTCTCAAGCGGTTTGCCTGTTTCCTGTCCCAACATCCTTCGCTTGGAGAGCAGATTGTGAGGATGTCTCATGCGGGGCGCTGGTTTCAGCACCCCTAAGGGGAGCCGCCGAAGGGTATGACACGGTCCCGTTTGCGGCCGTTTTGTGGGGATGTCTCAAGCGGTTTGCCTGTTTTCTGTCTCAACATCCTTCGCTTGGAGAGCGGATTGTGAGGATGTCTCAGGCGGGGCGCTGGCTTCAGCTACCTAAGGGGAGCCGCTAAGGGTGCTTTCACGGCTCCGTTCGTCGCCGTTCAGTGGGGATGTCTCAAGCGGTTTGCCTGTTCTCTGCTGTTGCGTTGTGTCCCGAGTGGCTCTCCCCGCTGCGTACGGCGGTCAAGGAGGAGTGACCAGGTGTTGCTGGCGCAGAGCTTGTGTCACCTTGGGATGTTGCTTTCTCTCTCCGTGGTGCTTTCCAATCTTGTCTTTGTCAGCGGGAGAGGGAACTCGAGAAAGTTAATTCTCCCGCGTGCGTTTTGGGCTGGGGAGGAAACTTGAAAAGGTTCACTTTCCCGCTTGTGGTCGAACTGGAGAGGGAACTTGAAAAGGTTCACTCTCCAGGCAAGGACACGGAACTTGAAAAGGTTCGCTCTCCCTCGTGTGGTCGGACTGAAGGGGGAACTTGTAAAGGTTCACCCTTCAGTCGCGGGGTAGGGAACTTGCAAAGGTTCACTTTCCCGCATGCGATCGAACTGGAGAGGGAACTTGAAAATTTTCACTCTCCAGGCGGGGGAGAAGGAACTTGAGAAGGTTCACTCTCCCTCTTACGGGAACTGAAAAGGTTCACCCGTCAGCCGCGGAAAGGGAACTTGCAAAGATTCATTCTCGCTGACGCTCGAACTGGAGAGGGAACTTGAAAAAGGTTCCCTCTCCCTACGAGTAGGACGATAGAGGGATACGAGAGGAGGAGGAGAAAGGAGATTTGCTTCGTGTTTGGTAATGAGGGGGAACTAACGCAATTTGTTTTCTGGCGTTCCAGGGGTTGGGAAGACAATTTTCCCTCCCCGATGGAACAAGACTTGAGTCGTTGAAAATTGGCGCACATCAATATAGTTTGCGATACAAAATCGTCACGAGACGCGCCGGAGGGCCCCGGGACGGTACAAATATCGTTTTGGGTTTGTTTCTGCCGGCTCCGGGGGCTCAGAAAGGACCTCCGGGACAGGGAAAACACGGAAGGGATCCTATCTAAAGGCATTCGGCCAAATCCGCCACCGTGCCTGGGTAATGGGCGGGAATGGGAACTTGAAAAGGTTCACTTTCCCGCTTGTGGTCGAACTGGAGAGGGAACTAGACAAGGATCACTCTCCAAGCAGGGACACGGAACTTGAAAAGGTTCACTCTCCCTCGCGTGGTCGGACTGAAGGGGGAACTTGAAAAGGTTCACCCTTCAGTCGCGGGATAGGGAACTTGCAAAGGCTCACTTTCCTGCATGCGATCGAACTGGAGAGGGAACTTGAAAAAGGTTCACTTTCCAGACGGGGGAGAAGGAACTTGAGAAGGTTCACTCTCCCTTTTGTGGTCGGACTGAAGGGGGAACTTGAAACGGATCACCCTTCAGCCGCGGGAAAGGGAACTTGCAAAGGTTCACTTTCTCGCTTGTGGTCGAACTGGAGAGGGAACTTGAAAAAGGTTCACTTTCCAGGCGGGGCAGAAGGAACTTGAAAAGGTTCACTCTGCCTCTTGTGGTCGGACTGAATGGGGGAACTTGAAAACGTTCACCCTGCAGCCGCGGGAAATGGAACTTGCAAAGGTTCACTTTCTTGCTGACGTTCGAACTGAAGATGGAGCTTGAAAAGGTTCTCTCCCCCTACGAGTAGGGCGATTGAGGGATACGAGAGGAGCTCTTTGGCGCTCGCCCAAACATGGCCCGATGCCAAGTGCGGACGGCACTCCGCGTGAATTCCTCAGTAGGTATCCCCATCTTGGTGTGGACGGCACAACCAAACGACCTCTGCCACGGTGCTTGCGACGCAGTGCCAATGAGTTCTTTGCTTTGACAAAAAAAGCGCTGTAATATGCTTGCGGATAAACATGGACATGTGTTGGATGTGCAGCCGAGCTGCCCGCGCGCGTGCTCGTTGCTCACGTAGACGCGCTCTTATAACAAAACTAGCATGGACATATGTTCACATTCCAATTTCCCAACTACAATATTACCTTTTAAAAAGGATGCACATATGGGGAGCTCCACGCAATGAGAAATTTCCTTCCCTTCTCCTTCTCCTTCTTTTCCCTCTCCTGCTCCTGCTCCTGCTCCTGCTCCTGCTCCTGCTCCTGCTCCTCCTCCTCCTCGCGCTTGCCAAGTCCTCCCATCCGAGCTGGCGCACGGCCCAATCCAGACCCGTCATCCGACATCCTGCAAGCCCGACCCGCTGACAAACCAGACTTCCGCAGACCAGTACTCCCGCCCATGCGCACCTGGCACACCCGGCGCGCACGACAGCCCTGGCGCACCTGTGAGAACAGCCCTTGTGCTCGCTCGTTTCGGGCACTCCGCCTTGCAACGCTCGCCGATCCCTGGGGACCTGGGCTCTCGGCGAGGGGGCTCGTGTTCCTAACCCACGGGCGAGCCTGGCTCGCGAGGCGGCCCCGACGAGCCCGTGGATCCTCGCGCGCCCGCCGCGCTCGGCGCGCCCGACCCCCCCTCCCTGACGACGCCCCGGCGATGCTGTTCCGGCTGCGTCGACGACGCGGCCACGACGGGCGCCCCGGAGGCCGAGTCGGCGCCCGCTCCTCCGCCCCCTCCCCCAGGTGGGCTGGAGGCCCCGCCTCAGACGCCAGGCACGCAAGCGCTCCTGGCACGTGTGTGGGAGCGGGGGGCGGCAGCCAGGGCGGCGAAGGCCGCTGCCCCACGACGGCCAAACTGTTAGCGCCGGTCCTGCCCTCAGGGATCGCTGAGGAGAAAAGCCCTCACCCCTCCTCCCTCCTCCCTCCTACACACAGAGGCACGCTGTCGCAATGCCCGCGTCGAGTCAGCAAAGACGCCTCCCCCCTCTTCCCTCTTCCCTCTTTCCTCCTCCTCCTCCTCCTCCTCCTCCTCCTCCTCCTCCTCCTCCTCCTCCTCCGCCCTCCGCCTCCTCCTACTACCTCCTCCCTCCCCCAACCTCCTCCTACCTCCTACCTCCTCCGACCTCCTCCTGCCGCCTCCTGCCTCCTCCTACCTCCTCCTCCTCCTCGCTCCGCCCTCCCCCCCCCCACCCTCCTCCCCCCCCCTCTCTGCCGACCGAGGGCCCGATCGGCCGGCCCCGGTCCTGACCGATCGGCGCCCTCGGCCAGAGCTGCGGCCCGGGGCCAGGGCCAGCTGGCTGATGAAGATGATGTAGGCAACGCAGGTCCTCCGAGGGCGGCTGGCAGCGCAGGGAGGCGGCGGGCGGGCGGGCAGGGGGCGAACGGAGGGGAGGAGGAGGAGGAGGAGGAGGAGGAGGAGGAGGAGGAGGAGGAGGAGGAGGAGGAGGAGGAGGAGGAGGAGAGGAGGAGGAGGAGGAGGAGGGAGGAGGAGGAGGAGGAGGAGGAGGAGGAGGAGGAGGGGAAGAGGAGGAGGAGGAGGAGGAGGAGGAGGAGGAGGAGGAGGGGAGGAGGAGGAGGAGGAGGAGGAGGAGGAGGAGGAGGGGAGGGAGGGGGGGGAGGGAGGGAGGGAGGGAGGGAGGGAGGAGGGAGGGAGGAGGGAGGGGGAGGAGGGAGGGGGAGGGAGGGAGGGAGGGAGGAGGGAGGAGGAGGAGGGAGGAGGGAGGAGGAGGGGGAGGAGGAGGGAGGAGGGAGGAGGAGGGAGGAGGGAGGAGGGGAGGAGGAGGAGGAGGAGGAGGAGGAGGAGGAGGAGGAGGAGGAGGAGGAGGAGGAGGAGGAGGAGGAGAGGAGGAGGAGGAGGAGGAGGAGGAGGAGGAGGAGGAGGAGGAGGAGGGAGGGAGGGAGGGAGGGAGGGAGGGAGGAGGGAGGGAGGGAGGGAGGGAGGGAGGGAGGGGGGGGAGGGAGGGAGGGAGGGAGGGAGGAGGGAGGGAGGAGGGAGGAGGGGAGGGAGGGAGGAGGAGGAGGGGAGGAGGAGGAGGAGGAGGAGGGAAGGAAGAGAGAGGAGGGAGGAGGAAGCGGGAGGAGGCTGGAGGCGGGAGCAGGCGGAGGGAGAAGGGAGGAGCAGGGGGAGCAGGGGGAGGAGGAGGAGGAGGAGGAGGAGGAGGAGGAGGAGGAGGAGGAGGAGGAGGAGGAGGAGGAGGAGGAGGAGAGGCAAGCGAGGTGCGCTCGCGCCAAGGGCCCCTTTCGGGGCCCTACGGGGCCCCTTTTCTGCAGCCGTCGCTGACCTCTCATTCATCGCCCCCCCCCTACGCGACGCTCATCTCTCTCTCTCTCTCTCTCTTTTTTGTTGTTGCCTCTCTCTCTCTCTCACCCACCGGGCAGCATCCCCTGCCTGGAGCCTGCGCGCTGACGGCGCGATCCGAGTGGAGGCAGAGCGCGTTGGCGCGCGGGGGCCACACCCCCGAGGGAAGCGCGCAGAGCGCACGCGAAGGCAGGTGGTGGCCAGCGCCGCGGCGAGCGTGCCGCTGCGTTGGACGGAAGCTCGATGGAAATCAGCGTGGCACGTGCTGCATGGGGGCGCACCGCTTCTGCGGAAGCATGCGGTCAGCTCTGCGGCGAGGGCACCGCTTCGTTGGAGATGGACGGAAGCACAGGAATCTGGCAAACCCCGCGGCGGGATCATCACTTCCACTGGTACACGAGTAGCTCCACACACTGCCACAGCCGTGGCGACAGCGTCGTCTCGTTGGGCGGAAGCTCCATGATGAACATGAAATGCGGGCAGCACCAGCGAAAGCCCCGCATGTCAAAGGCAGTTAAAGTTCAGATTGCGCACGCATGAATGAATACAACCACCGCTGCCACCGCTGAAGCGACAGGGCCGTTCCGTTCGACGGAGCTTTTCTGGTGGACGTGCGATATGGCGAACACATGTGAGCGAAGAGGAGGAGGAGGAGGAAAAGGAGGAGGAGGAGGAGGAGGAGGAGGAGGAGAAGGAGGAGGAGGGGCAGCAGGGGGGGCAGCAGGAGGGCAGGAGGCAGCCACGTGACGGGCAGCCGCGGCCGCTCCGCAGCGGCAGTGCACACGGAGAAGGTGCTGCTTGCCGTCGGGCCGCGCGGCCCGCTCTGCACGTCCCGCGCGGGGGGGCCCACCCCGCGGCCAGGCGCCGCGCCTGCGGGGGGCCGCCTGCGGGCCGCACCCGGCCGCGCGCGCAGCCGCCGCGGAGCGGCAGCCGCGAGCGAGCGGGCGCGGGCCATGGGCCTGGGCGGCGGCTCCGGCCTCGGCGTCGAGGCAGTTCCTGCCCGAGGGGCTCCTCCTGTCCGGGGAGTCCTTCGTCCTTGGGCCGGGGCCTGGGCCCCGCCTCTTGCGGCCCTGGCGGCGGGCCCGGCGGCGGCGGCTCCGGCGGTGGCCCGTGGCGGCGGCCCAGTGGCTGGCGGAGGGCAGCGGTGACAGTCGGACCTCGGGCAGAAGAGCATCCTGCAAGAACGCGAGACCCTCCGCCGGCCAAGCGCAGGCACCTTCGAGGGCGCCCCCCCCCAGGACGCACAAGAACATCCAACGAGCACGAAGGGCATCAATGCACCCTCCCCGGTCCGATCTCGATCTCATACCTCGGGCCGAGTGTACCGGGCACCGCCGCGGCGCGCAGGGGCACAGGCGATGCAGCCTGCGGCGGCTCGGGGCGCCAGGCGCCCTGCGGAGGCAGGATGTGCGGACAAGATGCGCCCAAGGCCCTGTGAGCACGAGGGGGCCACTTGAGCGGCTCGTGGGGCGGCGGCGGCGGGGGCCCCGGCCACCCCCTGGCCCGAGGGAGCCCTCGGGAAGAGACCAGCCACGAATCGGCAGGGGAGGGGGGAGACCCAGGCAAGGGCGGCGCAGTTCGGGGAACATGGGGGAGGACGGCGAGGACAGAAGACAGAGGGGAGAGGCAAGCTAGGTGTGCTCGCGCCTCATCTGACATCCTATCCCTCCCTCCCTCCCTCCCTTCCCATGGCGCTGATGCTTCTCTATCCGCGGACGCGTGTCATAGCCGACCTGCGACTCTCACAAACATACCACTTCGTGTTGTGCGCAATCGGAAATAGGGGAGCTGCGTGCACAGGAGGAGGAGGTGGTGGGTGAGCAGGAGGATGAGCGAGAGGAGAAAGGACGAGGCCGAACAGCAGCAGCAGCAGAAACTGAAGCAGAAGGATCGGGAGGGAAAGGAGGACCAGGGAAAGGCGGAGGAGGGGAAATGAGGGGGGCGACAGCGATGAAGAAAGGCTCGGACTCAGAAAAGTGACCCGCGCTGGGGCGAGACGAACAGCAGCAGCAGCAGGAACCGGAGTGGAAAGAGCGGGAGGAACGAGAGGAACAGGGGAAGGCAGGCGGAGGAGGGGAAATGAGGGGGGGGACCACAATGAAGCAAGACTCGGATCCAGAGAAATGGCCCGCGCTGGGGCGAGGTCGCAGTAATAAACGATTGGAACAAATCACCAATCCGAAAATGAGGCCCACGCTGCAGCTGGAGCAGCATCCCGAAACAACGAAAACAACCACATTGCAAAACAACCATAATAACAACGACTTTTGACATCCTGTGTGAAAACAGCACGCGGAGGGGGCGGGAGATCTTCTGGACAACTTCGAGGGAGAAGGGAGAGTAGTACATATTCATATTGGTTCCTTGCAGAGGAAGTAATCTGGGCGGGCTCGCGTCATACCGAACATCCTGCCCCCCCCACCCACCACCACCCATCCTTTCGTACTCTGCTGAAGCATGTGACTTCCGATGGCTGAGGTGTCTTACATGACCTTGATCCCCAAAGTGGCCCCCTCGAGTGATGCGCAGTCAGACCAGATGGGGGAGGAGATGGCCAATGATCAAGAGGATAAACAGAATTCTGAGGAGAGGGGGAGTAGCAGCAGCAGCAGCAGCGAGAAGCAGGATGAATAGAAGAGAGCAGGAGGAACAGGGGAAGGGGAAGGAAAACTGATGACGACGCCGACGACGAGAAACAGACCGGATCCATACATGTGCCCCGCGCTGGGGCAAGAGCCAAATCTGGACAAGCGCAAATTTGGACGACCAGTAACGGTCCGATCGAACAGGAGCATCAATTGCTTAAAATCGTGTGCGAAAACACGGCATGCGGGAGGGCGGCACCCCCGCGCAACACAGCAGAAGGGAAGATGGGATCATAGCGTTCCTAGTTTCTAACTGGATAGGAGGGACAGGAAGAGAGGTGAGGAATATAATGCCACGGAGAAGGCAAATAATTTGGCAGACACGGCCCGCACTGGACATCAGAGCACAGTCCCACTCTTGAAGAATCAGCACGCGGGAATGGAAGACTAAATCTGCCCCCCCAGACGAGACAGGGAGAAGGCCTGAGGCCAAGGAATCTGGCCCAGGGGCAGGATATGCTCATCAGCGTGCCGCGGCGGCAGAGCCTGCGTCACGCTATGCCTTGCAAGCTGCTGGTGGGACTGAAGGCTGGGGAAAGCACGGAACGTTTTGGACGCCCGAAATGGGTACCGAACAAATGGGTACTATGCCCAACAGCAAATGTTGTCCCAAACCAACAGCGGCCGCTGTTGGGCAGGCGGCCTCCTGTCTCGAATGGACACAGGCCGCGGCGGCGTGGACAGCGAGAACTGTTCAAACTGAACAAGATCCGCTGTTGGGCATTGTACCCATTCTTTCAGTACCCATTTCGTGCGTGCAGATTGACTTCTAGGGACTGGGAAGTGCTTCGCGTGTCGCGCCAAAGCGTGGTGGGCCAGCACCGGCGGCCCGACACGCTGAGAAACCTCTTCGGACCCCGTTCAATACAAGGGCAAACGAAAAATACATAAGCGAATGATAGGCTGCACCAGTGCCAGACGACAGCCAGGCAAAAGCACTGTGCACTTGACCTGCAATCCTGCGCTTGGGCATCACCAAGTGTGTCCACACGGGCTTCCCGTCGAGCTGGCCCAACATGCGGATCTGCCGATCGCGCACCTGTTCAACCGTTCCAGACACATCAGTGCACTGGCGCTGCTCCTCAGCGTAGTGGGCAAGCGTGCGCGCCAAGGGATCCTTGAGAGTGGGCTGGCGTCCGCCCGTAGGCATTGGCGAGCCAAGGCACGGGCTCGCTGGGGATTTTGTTCGCGGCGGGCTGAAGGCAGCCGCAGGTATCGGTCGCAAGGTCGCTCCTGAGCTGCGCGACCTGATGTTGTGAAGCATCGATCTGCACAAACAACTTCATGAGCTGATCATTCGGCGGATTCGTATTTATGCCGGGCAAGTGGCCACCGCCACTGTCATGCACGCCCGCGAGGAACGCAGTGTCATGTGCCAGGCAACCTTGTAGGCGAGGTCGAGCTTCCTGATGATGCCTTTCAACTTGCTCGAGGTGACGTCCTGGGTCTGCAGCTTTAGTACGCCGTCGCCGACAAGTGTGACTGGCGCGTGGGCCGGCTAAGCCAGCATCTCCGGCTCGGAGACGCGGAAGAGCGCGTGCTTCGAGAGCCTTGGGCCTTCTTTCCCGCGAACTGCTATCGGACGTCAATGCTTGACTGGGGAAGGACAGTGGGTCTTGCGGACAGCCAGTGCCTCTCGCCAGAAGGGCTACGGACACGAGGAAAAAGGGAGATGATGATGCTGATGATGATGCTGATGATGCTACTGCTGCTGCTGATGATGGTGATGATGGTGATGATGATGTTGAGGAAGAGGGGGAAGAGAAGGAGGCGGAGGAGTAAGAGGAGCAGGAGCAGCAGGAAGAGGAGTAGCAGGAGGAGAAGGGGGAGGGGAGGGGGATATGGAGGAGGGAAGGGCGAAGATGGGGGAGAGGAGAGAGGAGGAGGAGGAGGAGGAGGAGGAGGAGGAGGAGGAGGAGGAGGAGGAGGAGGAGGAGGAGGAGGAGGAGGAGAGAGCAGGAGAGCAGGAGAGAGTAAGAGAGAGGGGAGGAGAGAGGAAGAGAGGGCGGAGGAGCAGCAGCAGCAGGAGCAGCAGCTGCAGGCGGCCCACTCTTGCCGCGCGCCCACTCTCGGGAGGCAGCCCCTGGGGCAGGTCCCGAACTGGGAGATCACCAGCGACACCTGCACAGCCAGTCTGCCGACCCAGCCGCAGGCCGAGTCGGCGATGCACGCGAAGCTGGCGCGCGGGTTCACCTGCTTGTCCTTCGGGCTTCGACGATCGAGGCCCTTGCGCCGGGCCTCCAGAGGCCTCCGTGGACCCCCCCCGCCTCCTCCTCCACCTCCTCCTCCTCGTCCTCGTCCTCCTCCTCTCCTCCTCCTCCTCTCTCCTCCTCCTCCTCCTCCCCTCCCTCCTCCTCCTCCTCCTCCTTCCTCCTCCTCCTCCTCCTCCCTCCTGCTCCTCAGTGTCCTCCTCCTCCACCTCCTCCCTCCCTCCTCCTCTCCTCTCCTCCCCCCCCTCCTCCTCCTCCTCCTCCTGCTCCTCCTCCTCCTCCTCCTCCTCCTCCTCAGTGCCCTTCTCCACCTCATCCACCTCCTCCTCAACATCCCCCTTCTCCTCCTCCTTCTCCTTTTCCACCCCTCTTCTTTACGTAGAACTTTTCTTTGTCACACCACCAGACATGCTGTTCTGGCGAGCTGGGCGTTTTGCTTGAGGCTCACCTTCAACTTGCTACCCTGAAGCTAAACATTCTCAATTGTTACACTAAGTAAGGGTCAGTCGTTTCCAACATGGGGCTCTCGCCGTAGCGCTACGCGCTCGTGTTTCAAGCTTCCAACACCTACAACTATGTAGGCCGATTCGTTGTCAAAATGCAATTGCCGCTTGAGGGCGGCTCCTTGTCGAAATGGGGCTCCCGTCTGAGACGCTCTGAGTTTTGGATCTGGGCAACGCTTACGCACGTTGAGAGCACATCCTTTTGAAAACGAGCCTACCGTTGGACACTTCGTTGAACTTTCTCATACGCAACCTGCGCCCCTGAAATCAGAAGGATGGAGTGTAGATCCTGAATCGCAGGCCCTCTGGGCGCTTAGCCGTGGAACAGAATACATCATTGATGCATCCTTGGTTTACTCTGGCCCTCCTCCTCCTCGCCTCCACCTCCTCCTCCCCCTTTTCCTTCTCCTCCTCCTCCTCCTCCTCCTCATCCTCCTCCTCCCCGTCCATCTTCTCCCCCTCCCCCTCCTCCTACTCCTCGTTCTCCTCCTCTCCTCCTTCTCCTCCTCCTCCACCTCCCCGTCCTCCCTCTCCTCCTCCTCCTCCTGCTCCTCCTCCTCCTCCTCCTCCTCCTCCTCCTCATCAGCAGCAGCAGCAGCAGCAGCATCAGCATCAGCATCAGCATCGTCCTCTTTTGACATGGGGGCTCCTGGGGGCGGGCCGCAAAACCCTTCACCGCATTGGCTGGCAGTAAGCAGTTCGTGAATCATCCGGTCAGACGGGTTTGCCCGCGTGGGGATCTCAATTTTTAGAACATTCTATCACGATTGAGCTGTCGACTCTCATGGGCCACGACTCCTTCGAACACGAGACCTTCGAACACGCTGGGGCGCGAGGCCGCGCGGACACGGCGAGAGCAACGCTGGCACCTCCAGGTTCCATCGCCAACGAGCCTGATCCTGCGGGTCCGCTCCGCGACAGTGGTTGGGCGGGGCGCACGGCCGCTCTTCTGCACCCGACCCAAAGGGAGGGGGGCAGGCTCGGGGCGGCGACCCTGGCAGCCTTCAACTCGTATGCAGGGCGCAACAGGTGATCAAACAATTCGGCGCTGGGTCCTGAGTCCTGCGCAGCACGAGCGAGCAACGAGAAAGACTCGTCGGGCTGGCCTGCCTTGCACTTCCCCATCCAGTTCCCCCGTCACCCCCTCAAGTTTCTCCCGGAACGCCCCAGAGAAGGTGTCTCTCGCCCCCGAAATTTGCATGATGTCGAAACTCTGGAAGTGCCTCTTCGGGGGGGACCCATCTGCGGGCACGGGTTCCCAACACAACTTAAGATGCAACGGCGCGTGGTCCCTGGGAAACCTAGAGGGCATGAGTTGGTGGCGCCTCATGGCGCGACGAAGTGGGCCCCTAGACATGACAAGATCAGCAGCAGCAGCAGCAGCAGCAGCAGCAACGGGTCCAAAAACATAGTCCACGCGGCTAGCGGCACCGTCGTTTCCGAACCAGGTCGGCTCGATGCTGTCACCAAGCGAAGCACCATCCCAAACTCCTCCATGATTTCGCGGACAAGTTCCCCCGCTCCTCCCTCCAGGTTCTCACGAGTGGCTAGAGTAGGCCCCGCAACAATCGTATCATAATAACTCCAGACGTCCTCCCTCTGAGACAGCCCAATGCCATCATTCAAATCTACGCGAAGGAAGGGCATAGCCCTGGACTGGCTGAGGAGATCGGCCGTCGTCTTACGAAGCCACGCAGCAAATCGAGACACAGTCGCAAAATAGCGCGGCTTCCCCCGCAGTCCCCGCGGCCGAGGAGGAAATTACACACCGAAAACAGCTACATCCAATCCACTTCGCTTGACCCGAAGACCGTAAGCCCGACATGCAAGATCCGATCCTGGCTCCCAACGACGAACGATGTGGGACCCGCGGAGGCCGCAAGCGAGAGTGAAGTCGATGCCTGTGGGCTTATTCGTGTACGTGCCCTTGCCAGCACCATCCTCCCCTAGAAAAACACCATTGGCGCGACGCCTCTGCACAGGACAATCTGAAAGAGCCCTGCACTGTGTGCCAATGAAGACGCACATGTGGAACGAACGACAAGTAGTATGACTCACTTCCTCCTGGCGGTCTGCTGAGTTAAAAATCAATGGATTCCAACATAAATTTCTAAGCTGCATGTCAGATAGGCCGTGCAGCGGCGAAGATAAGCCGAGCGGCCTGGTGACTTACGTTCGGTTGACGGAAGTGAGTGCGTTGGATGGTGAAAGGGAACAACAGCTACATCAACCCTGGAGCCACCTTAGAGAGGCGAGAGAGAATAAGGAGGAGATAGGATGAGGAGGAGGAGGAGGAGGAGGAGGAGGAAGAGGGCGAGGGGGACGGGGCAACGTGGTTGCCAAAAACAGTCGACACACACAGGCAGCTTGAACCCTGGCCCCTGTGAGTCAAAGAGCACCGGCCACAGGAGGAAGAGGAGGATTGCAAAAAAAACGAAGGATTGCAAAAAAACCTAGGATTGCAAAAAACCCTTCGAAGGATTGCAAAAAAAACCTTCGAGGGTTTTGTTTGCAATCCTTCGAGAAGAGAGAGGGAAGGAGTGGAGAAGGGCGGCGACGAGAGGCCCCTCCGCGGAGGGGCCGGCAGCCCCTGGACGACGTGAGACGACACGAAACGGCGAAGGATACGACCAGCAACTCCACACAGGGCCGAACAGGGAGCGACATCCGCACCGAGCAGCGTGAGAGAAGGAGTAGGGGGCCACATGCGAACCCTACCCCTACCCCCCACGATCTCTGAGGGGGGGGCTGGGGTTCGCTTCATTCGGGAGGTCACGAGCGAAGTGAACCCCACCCTCCCCCTCAAAAATCGTGGGGGGTAGGGGTAGGGTTCGCATGTGGCCCCCTAAAGAGGGGAGAGGAGAGAAGCTAGATTTGGAGCGGACGCTTCAGCGCACGCTGCACGATGCCAGCGGTGCCCGGGTTTCCACGCACCGCTTCAAAGGCAAAGCCACGGGAAGCCTCGGTGCCCCGCCGAGCGCGCGGTGCCTGCGCGGACGGCGCCGTGCGTGCGCAGGAGCGCGTACACTGCGCAGGCCCTCAGCGCGGCTCGCTCGTCTGGCGTATTGTGGCGTTTCACGGGCTCGGCAGGGACGAGCCCGATGAGCTCCGCCTTGGCGTTCTCTGGCGCCGGTTGGCATGGACCGAAACGTTGCCAGGAGATGCGATGGAAGCACGGGCATCACGAATGGTGTTCACTATTGTACTGTTCTTTTCCGCCGCAAGAAACGCACCCTTGAAAGACCAACACAGATGTGCCTGCCATTTTGGCGAGGGCCCCGCTCTGAACATGAGTTGCCTTGCATCTTTCTAGCGCGTAATCAAAAACGTGACAAACTATGACTGCACAGTTCAACGAGGTGCCCAAACCCTTCACCCTTCCTAAAAGCATGACCTCCCATCAGGCATAAGCTCAGGCTCGTGGCCAGGAATCTCGAGGACGGCGGAAGCGACAGCCCCCCACTTTGGGGGAGCGCCGACCTGGATCCGTGAAGCACTGTATGTTGAAGCGCGTAGCGTTTGTCTTGAAGACGTCTCCCGCGAGAACCCGATATTCAGAAGGCCAGCGCCCTCCATCCTTCTACACTCTGCGCCGCGCGCGGCGCCGAGGCGAGATATACTCGTTCTGAAAGCGACCAGCGCTCCATCCTCGAAACTGTGTCAAACATCTGAACCTCGTGTGCGCGGCGCTGGGGCGAGAGCCCCACTTTGAAAAAGGGCCGCCCTCCATCCGTGAACCTGTCGCATGTTGCAACGAGGATGTGCGAGGCGCTTAAACGAGAGCCTCAATTTGAAAAAGGACCGCCCTCCATCCGTGTACCTGTCGCATTGTTGCAACGGGGATGTGCGAGGCGCTGAAACAGAGCCACAACTTGAAAAGCGGCCCGTGCTTCCTCCGTGCGACGCCTCCCTCCAACACCTAGGAACGACTGTGCGCGGCGAGTGCGCGAGAGCCACATTTTGAGACATGTCCCCCCTCCGTCCCTCAAACAATTGCAGGCATGTGATACGCATGCGCGCGGCGCTAATGCAAAAGCCCCATGCTGAAAACAAGCCCCCTCCATTCTGAAACCTCCTGCAAACTTTTGAACGAAGTGTGCGCGGCGCTAAGGCGAGAGCCACATTTCGAAAAGGACCGCCCTACATCCTTGAAGCTGGCGCTGCATTTAAGACGAAAGCGCGCAGCGCCAGGGCGAGGGACTCATTTTGAAAACGACCCCCAATCACCTTTGAAGATGTTACTGTGTTGAAGACAACTGTGCGGGGCTCTAAGGCGACAGCCACAGTTTGAAAGCGACAACCCCTACATCCTTGATGCTGTTGCATATGCCATGGGATCATAATCAGTGAGGAAGTCTCAGGCGATACACCCGGCCCGTCCTGCCAACACGCCTGGGGGTGCGACAGAGAGCGACTTCTCAAACAAAGGGATGGAGGAGGGACGCGAGCAAAGGGAGCAGGAAAACGAGGACACAAGCAGATGGATCAGGAAAACGAGGAGGCGGGGGGGGTCCTCAATCTGTACAAGTGGCCTGGAGTCTTTGCACTCGACATGTCCAAATATTTCTCCTCATCTTCGTCTATCTCCTCCTTCTCATCCTCCTCCTACTCCTCCTTCCCCTCCTGTTTCCCTCCCTCCTCCTCTCCGTCTGTACTTTCCTCACCCTTCTTATTACCTTCCTCTTCCTCCTCCTCCTCCTCTAACTCACTACCGATATTTTCCTCATCATCGCAATCCTCACCACCATCATTCTCATCACACCACCACCTCATCATCACGGTCCTCATCTCCATCCTCCCCCTCCTCCTCCTCCTCCTTCTCCTCATCATCATCATCATCAACATCACAAGCATCACCATCATCACCATCAACATGACCACTACCATGCCGATCACCATCACCATCACCAACACAACCATCATGATCGTCATCACTATCAGTACCAGTACCGTCACCATAATTATCAGCATCACCATGCCCATGACCATCACCATTCGCTACCACCACCACCATCATCAACACCACAACCACCATCATTAGCATCCCCACCATTATCATCAACGGCATCATCATCAACAGCATCAGCATCATCAACATCATCAGCATCATCAACATCAGCAGCACCATCATATGAACACCACCATCATCATAATCATCATCATCCTCGTCGCGATCGTCAAGATCATCATAGCCATCATGATCAACATTGTCGTCGTCGTCATCATCGTCATCACCCTATTCATCAGCATCATTATCTTCATCGTCATCATCATTATCATCATCGTCATCAACATCACCAGCATCGTCATCCTTATCACCACCACCGTCATCACCATCACCACCATCAACAACATCATCATCAGCATCATCCTCATCATCCGCAGCACAATCATCGTACTCATCACTAGCATCGCCGTCATCATGACCATCATCATCACACCAAAATAGTAATCATCATCCTCACCATCAGCATCATCACCAGCATCACAAGCATCGTCATCATCATCACCATCATCAGCATCATCAGCATCAGCATCGATATCAGCATCATCATCACCATCATCTTCAGCATCATCATCATCATCATCATCATCATCATCATCATCAGCATCGTCTGTTGCGTCTCCTTTTCCTGCTCCTCCTCCTCCTCCTCCTCCTCCTCCTCCTCCTACCATTCGTTCCTGGCACTGCACCAGCCTGTAGATGCAGGCGCCGTTAACGGCGGCGATGATGCTGAGCACCACGGAGCTGAAGAGCCAACCACCCTCCGCGAACGCGCCCGGCATGAAGGTGATCCTCGGAGGCGTCGGCTCAGCCGCCGCCGCCGTCGTCGCCGTCGCTAGAGAAAGATGGGGGGGCACGACGACGACGACGACCAGGAGAGCGAGCGAGGAGGACCAGGAGGGCGAGGAGGAGAAGCAAAGGGAATTAGAGGAGGGGGAGGAGGAGCGGGAGGGACCGGAGGCGGACGGAGGAGAATCCAAAAGGAGGGGCGTGAGAAGGGGTGGAGCAAAGAGGGAGGGGGATCAGGAAAAGAAAGAGGCGGGGAGTTAGGAAAGGACGAAGAGCAGAGGAGGACAGAGGAAGATGAGGATGAGGTCGAATGGAAAGGAGGCAAACGAGGAAGCGCATGCTCAGGAAACAGGGAGGAGGATGAGGAGGAGGAGGAGAACCAGGAGGAGGGAGGAGGAGTAGATAAGGACGAGGAGGAGGAGGAGGAGGGAGGAGGATAGGGACAGCAACAGGGAAAGGGGGATGAGGCTGAAAAGGCGGCGGAGGGGCATTTGGAGGAGGAGGATGTGGAAATGAAGGGCGGAATGTACTCGTAGTTTGGCAAGGAGAAGAATGCAGCGAGTGAGTCACTATTTGCCCACAAAGTCCCACATGTATCCCCACCACCCTTCCCAAAGCTGGCAGGGATGTTCTGCGTTGGTTAGGACATCCACATCACCCCCTCCTCTGCTCCCCTCTGCTTATATCCGTCGTTCCTCCTCACTCCCCTTTTGCGTTTCATCTCCGCGTCCTCCTCCCCGGATCCTTCGCCACCGCCTCCTCCTCTTCCGCCTAATACGCTTCATCTTCCCCTCATCTCCTCCCCTCCTCCCCATCCCCATCCCAATCCCCATAACTACCATCATCACCATCATCATCACCAACATCATCAATGACAGCAACACAATCATCGTCATCATCATCATCAACATCATCATCATCACCATCATCGTCATCGTCACCATCCTCACAATCAGCATCTTCACCATCATCATCATCAGCAACAGCAACATCAACATAATCATCCCCATCACTATCGCCATCACCATCACCGTCATCGTCGTCATCATCAACAGCATAAACTCATGAACATCATGTTCAGCATCATCATCATCATCAACATCATCATCGCCTTAAATGCCGTTATTATCACCACGGCCATCATCATCAACACAGTCAACGTCGTCATCACCATCATACTATTCATCATCACCATCATCATCATCATCATGATCATCATCATCATCATCATCATCATCATCATCATCATCATCATCATCTTCACCACCACCATCATCATTACCATCATCATCATCAGCATCATCGTCGTCGTCGTCATCATCACCAGCACCATCCTGCTCTCCCTACTCCTCCTCTTCCTCCTTGTTGCGTCTTTTCCCGACGCATGTCTGGAAAACCACGATGACAGCCGAGGCGACACGCGCCAGCCAGCACTACGAATCGCAGGTGGAAGAGGATGAGGATGAGGATGAGGAGGCGGAGGAGGCGGAGGAAGGAGGGAGAGGAGGAAAAAGGAGGAAGAGGAGGAGGAGGAGGAGGAGGAGGATTAGCGTCGGGGGCTACGGCCGCGAGCCACCGCGGGCGCCGCCGAGATCAGACGTGCCTGCATGTATGGAGGTAGCGGCCCGGACGCTGGGAGCTCTGTCGCGGTCACCGCCCGGGCCTTCTGGTGGAGGCGGGGGTCCTGGGAGTTCGGCGGGGCCTGGGTATGCAAGGCACCGCGCTCCAGAATAGGAGGAGGAACAAGAGAAGGAGGAGGAGGATGAGGATGAGGATGATGATGCTGATGATGTTGTTTATGATGATGAGGATGATGATGTTAATTATGGTGATGATGATGATGATGATGATGATGCTGATGATGAATATGATGATGATACTGATGATGATGGTGAGAAGGAACATGATGATGATGGCGATACTGGTAATGATGATGCTGATGATGATGGTGGTGATGATGATGCTGATAGTTGTGACGTTGATCGTGAGGGTGATGATGACGATGATTATGATCATGATGATGGTGATTATGACGACGGTGATGATACTGATGATGCTGATGACGACGACGGTGGTGATTGAAATGAGGATGTTGATGATGATGGCGGTGCTGATGGCGATGATCATGATCATGATGATGATGATGATGATGATGATGATGATGATGGTGATGATGATGATGATGATGGCGATTTATTTGATGATGATGCTGATGATGATAAGTATGACGTTGATTAATAGAAATATCCAGATGCTGATGCTGATGCAGCCGATTCAACGGACGGTGATGACGATGATGATGATGTTGATGATGATGTCGTTGATTAAATATCATGGGGATGAGGATGAGGATGATGAGGATGTTGATGATGATGCTGCTGATGATGGTGGTGATGATGCTGATGATGATCACGACGACGATGATGATGATGCGAATAACAAATGATGAGGATACTGAGAATGATGATGATGATGATGATGATGATGATGATGATGATGATGATGATGATGAGGAGGAGGAGGAGGAGGAGGAGAAAAAGAAGGGGGAGGAACAGCACAAAGAGCAGGAGGGAGTAAGGAGCAGCGCGGTTGCAAGCACCGCTTGCCGCGCGCGCATCGCCTGCCTAATGTACAGCAGCGGCCCAGAGTAAAAACGCACAGTCGAGAGGAGGGGGGAGGAGGACTAAGAGGCGAGGGGAAGGGGAGAAGCCAGATGCCGTTCGATACCAATCTGCCACGCAACTGCATCGGGCCAGTGGCTGCAGAGACGCCGCGTCGCACCCCCTTCTGAAAAGGCCCACGCGGCCACGCCAGCAGATCCAGCACAACCCGCGACAAGAGAGAAAGGAAACGCGAGCAAGGAGCCCAGCACCTCTCCCTGCCTCGACGCCACCGCGGGCGGAGGAGGCGGCGCGCCACGCCTGCTGCTGAAGTGGCCGCGCACCGCCGAGGCCGTCGGCGACGCGCGCAGCACGCGGGGGCGGGGCATCATCGGGAGGCGGAGGCGGCAATGGGGCGGGGGCACTGGGAATAAGAGAGAGGAAGGGGCGAAGGAGTTCAGGAGGAGGAGGAGAAGGAGGAGGGGGAGGAGGAGGAGGAGAAAGACTGGGCTACACGAAAGGAGGGCGGGCGGCGCTGTTCCAGCGGTGGTCACACTGACGAGCATCGGCCAGGCGCGCAAGCCGCGGCCCTCCAGCAAGCCATTAGCGCGGCCAGAGTCGGCGGCGAGCCCGGGGAGAGAAGTGAGAAGGGGCGGGGCTTCTCAGAGGGCTCGGAAGTCCCCTGGCCTTCGGAGAAGTCTTCGGAGCCATCCCCGAGGACACAGGAAACCCCTCAGAAGGCCGCAGGGCTTCTGAGAAGTCCCGCCGCCTTCTGAAAAGGCCTTTTCTTCTCACACACACACACACACACACACACCCTCGCTTGCCGCCGACTTGCAGGCGCGGCGAGAGGGCTCGCCGCAGGCCGGCAGGCCAGGGCCGCAGCGCGGCCAAGGCGGCCAAGCCGGCGAGCAGCGAGGGGAACGCGACCCTCCAGCGTCTGGAAGCTGGGAAGCAGGAGTAACAGCGGCGGCGGCAGCAGCGCGGGAGGAGGGAGGGGCAAGAGGCGGAGCAGACTGGCGCCCAATCTCAGGAGAGCAAAAAGAGCCGCCACCACCACCAGAACTCCACAGAACTCTGTTCCCAAAGCCCCCCCCCAAGCTGGTGGCACTCCGCTCTGGGCACTCTCTGGGGTGCGCCCGGAACGGTGGTGTTGTTTCCTCTCTGGTGGCAATCGTGACCTCGCAGGCCCACCTGTTCCAGATGGTGTCCAGGATCCGGAGGCCCCCCGCGTGCCGTGCCGCAGCCGCCGCCGCAGCCTGGCCCAGAGCGCGCCGCGACACGTCCTCGTCGGAGAACGGCAGGCTATGACGGACCCGACAATGCAGCTTGTAGGCGGCCGCCAGCGGAATGGCGCGCCAGACCAGAATTGCATTCGGGAGCTGGGAAGCTCACCTCGACCACGAGGAAACTCACCAATCGACCCTCGAAAGTCGGCGGGACCGCTAGCCAGAGTCGTCGGCGTCCGTGTTGGTGAAGCGGGAGGCGCCTCCACGTTGTAGTCCACTGCGACCCCGCCCCTGGCGTGGGCTCACATGCCTGATCCCCGCGCACGCCCAGACCTGTAGAATGCCGCTGGCATTGTCCTCTGGTCCTCGGTGACTGCGAATCCGGGCCCCCATGTTGACACACGTCCCGTTTACCTGGATGCGTCCATGGTGGTGTATACGTAGTACGGATCGGTGGTGGTCCTGCTCTGCTGTGCGGGACTGGTGACCGTTTGGACTGCCAAGGAAATGGCTGGATTCGCATGCGGAGCTTCCGGAGGCCACGCACTGGATACACATGAGGATGCCTGGCCATGCCTGCCCTGCACGGGCACAAACAGGCCGTACGTTAGAAAGACATCTGGCCACACGGGCGTCCGGCTCTCGCCCAGGCCGGCTGCGTCGTGTATCCAGCTTCTTGGCCCCGTATCCAGCAAGGCCCCCCACCGAACCCCTCAAGAGCCCCCCCTCCAACGCAATCAGGCACAGCCTCCTGACCCCAAGGGTAGGCTGAAGAGGAGTAGGAGGACGAAGAAAGAGTAGAGGGAGAGAAATGAAAGAGGAGGGAGGAGAACGAGGAGGAGGAGGAGGCGGAGGAGAAGAGGAGGAAAAGAAGGAGAAGAGGATGAGGAAGAGGAGGTGAAGGGAAGAGGAGGAGGAATATGAGGAAGAGAGGAGGAGGGAAGGAGGAGGAGGAGGAGGAGAAGGAAAAGGACGAGGAGGAGAAGGAGGGGGAAGAGGAGGAGGTGGAGGAGGAGGAGGAGAGGAGGAGGAGGAGGAGGAGGAGGAGGAGGAGGAGGAGGAGGGAGGACGGAGGGAGAGAAGGCGTCGGTGGCGGCGTCGTCGGTCTTCCGAAGCGGGGGATGTTTTGTCCCTGCGGCGGTCCCACTACCCACGAAGCTCTTC